TATCATTGTATCCATAAATTGAAGTTAAAATCTAAATGACCCAGAGGTGCGTTTAAAACGTTAATTAGAACGTTCCAAGACGCAGACACAATAAAACGTTCTATTGGAATATACTTTCCGATATTCTCGTATATGTATATTTGTATATTTTCCTTTCTTATGTAATTTCGATATCTTAGAATCTAGGGTAAATGTATGCACATATATATAAGCCTTAAGGCTCAAGGAATAAGGAGAGACTTCCGCAAAGTATTTTCTCATGGTATCAGAGCCATAAGGCTATACATCGATCTTTCTCTTCTCTTCTCTGTTCGTGAGTTATTCTGTTGTCATCGAGCCGACGAGGTTCGTTGTACTTGTGTGTGCGATATTGGTGTTAGCAAACCGACGAGGTTCAGCTAAGAGTATCGTACGATATGGGTGATATTGTGCAAGCGGCAGCGACGAAGGAGGCAGATATTTTGGAAGATTACTTTCTCCATCCTTCGTCTGATCCAGGTCAGGTGATCTGTAATGTGATGTTAACTGAAAACAACTATGAAAGGTGGTCCAAGCTGATGAGAAATTCGCTGAAGGCGAAAAACAAGTTGGGGTTTATTGATGGTGTGATCACTGAACCAGAGGGTGTCAAGGAGCTTAAGAAGTGGGGTATTGTGAATTCTATGCTAGTTGCATGGATTTTGAATACCATTGAGCCAGAACTTCGAGGATCTGTATCCTGTGCGGAGACGGCGCATCAGTTGTGGACTGATATACGTGAGCGGTTTAGTGTGGATAATGAGCCGCGTATCTATGAGCTGCAGGCGGCATTTAATTCTTATAAGCAAGAGAAACAAACGGTTCAAGACTATTATGCCAAGATGAAGCTGATGTGGGATGCAATTGATGAGTTTGAACCATTAATGGAGTGTTGTTGTGGTGGTAAAAGCTGCAAAGTCATCAAAGCTCTTATCGAGCAGCGAGACAAGCAGCGAAGAAGACAGTTTCTAATGGGACTTGATGCAGGACGTTTTGGGAATGTTCGCAGCAACATTCTGTGTATGAGTCCACCTCCGAACTTGAACGCAGTTTTCTCCATGATAGTGCAGGAGGAACGCCATCAACGTGTTGCACATATTCCAGAAATACGACCTGAAGTGGTTGGTTTTTCGGTTCAAGCGCAGAAAAACACTGCTGCTGCAGGTCGTGGGCGTAATGGACATCCAGTGCAAGATTGCTACCAGTTGCATGGATATCCTGAGATGCGCACAGACATGGGTGCTTCTAGTGGTGGCCGTGGAAAAGGTTCATCAAACTGGAACAATTCTGGTGGACGTGGAGCAGGGCAAAATCAGTTTGCTCAGAATCAGTCAGGCCGTGGTGGTTATACGCCTAATCGTGGCAGAGGAGGTCGTGGAGCAGCTAATCATATGGCTGCATTTAATGTGGCTGGTGTGCCTGGACAACATCATGTGATTTCGACCGAAGATGGATCAGGTCTTACACTGAGTAAAGATCAGGTGTCTCAACTGGTTCAGCTATTGAATACTCCATCGCCTCAATCATCAGATCGACTGTCGGGTATTGTTATTGATACTGGTGCCTCTCACCATCTTACGGGCTTTATTGATCTCTTATTTGATGTTTCTGATATTTGTCCTTGTCCTATTGGCTTGCCGAATGGAGATGTTGTGATTGCTTCTCAACAAGGCAAACTTCGTCTTGGGAGTTCTGTTGTTCTTCTCTCTGTTTATTTCGTCCCGGACTTGACGAATACATTGCTCTCGGTAGCAAGATTGTTGAAAGACAAACCGTGTGTGGCTGTGTTTACTGAGAAGTTTTGTTATTTGCAGGACCGTACAACGAGGATGCTGATTGGAGCGGGTGATGAGTGTGATGGAATCTACTATTTTCGTGAAGTGTTTTCGGTTCAAGCAAATGCAGTCAGTGCTTCGAGTGGTCGTGAGCTGTGGCACAGACGTCTTGGACACCCTGCAACGTCTTTACTTACTAGTTTATCAGATGTTATTGATTTAGGTAGTAGTAGTAGTCATCAACCAAGTGGTCCTTGTGACATTTTTATAAGAGCAAAACAGCCTCGTTTCTCTTTTGATGAAAGTGATAATAAAGCAGACTCGATTTTTTCTCTTATTCACTGTGATGTTTGGGGCCCTTACAATACTCCGGCAACGTGTGGATCTGTTTATTTCCTCACCGTAGTTGATGACTGCTCTCGTGCTGTTTGGGTTTTCTTGATGCGTAATAAGAGTGAAGTGGCCAAACATCTTCAGAATTTTTGTACTATGACTGTTCGTCAATTTGATACACATGTTCGAATCGTACGGAGCGACAACGGTACTGAGTTCATGTGTCTCAAATCGTTCTTTGCATTCGAAGGTATTACGCATCAGATGTCTTGCGTGGGAACACCACAACAAAATGGTCGTGTGGAACGCAAACATCGACACATTCTTAATGTCGCACGATCACTGCGTTTTCAGGCTTCTTTACCGATCGAGTTTTGGGGAGACTGCGTGTTGACGGCGTGTTATTTGATTAATCGCACACCATCTTCTTTTTTGCATGGAAAAACACCATTTGAGATTCTTTTTGGAGCACCTGCAAGCTACAAACATGTCAAGATCTTTGGTTGTCTCTGCTATGCTCATAAAGGGACAAGGGTGCGTGACAAATTTGATGAGAGAGCAACTCGATGTGTTTTCCTTGGCTATCCATACAACCAAAAAGGTTGGAGAGTCTACGACTTGGAGCGTCGCGAGTACTTTGTGACTCGAGATGTGGTGTTTAATGAAGATGTGTTTCCATTTGCGTCCTCCCTCTCTGCACCGGAGTCATCCCCTGTCTCGGATTCAGTTGGTTCTTCACGTCCTTTTGTTGATGATGATGATGTCTTACCTCTCGAGGTATCTGTTTCACCTGTCTCACCTTTAAGGGGGAACTCAGCTGCGAGGGATACAGTGTCCACGGAGGACGCTGTTGCTATTTCTTCGAACTCTCTTGAAGAAGATTCTGTTGCTGTTGTTGATTCTGTTCCAGTCGTGGTGCAGAGTAATGAGCCACTTCTGGGTCGTGGTCTTCGTGAAAAGAGAACATCTGTGTTACTAGCGCCGTATCAGACTTATTCTGCTAAATGCTTACCAGATTCGTCACACTCATCGCTTCAATCAGCGCCTGCAACTGCAGGTACTCGGTATCCTCTTGCTAATTATATGTCTTGTGCACGTTTCTCTGACAGTTATAGGGGTTTTCTGGCCAAAATCTCTGCTGTACGGGAACCAAAATCATTCGCAGAGGCTATGCTTTATCAAGAATGGAGAGACGCTATGGCTGCAGAAATCAAAGCTCTTGAAGATAACAAGACGTGGGATCTCACTGATTTACCGAGTGGTAAGCATGCTATTGGTACGAAATGGATTTTTACCATCAAATATAATGCGGACGGCACGATAGCTCGGTATAAAGCTCGTCTCGTTGCACTTGGAAATCGTCAAGAGGAGGGTCTTGACTATGATGAAACATTTGCTCCAGTTTCTAAGATGACAACAATTCGGTGTTTTTTCAAGGTTGCAGCGGTGCGTAAGTGGGAACTTAATCAAATGGACGTTAATAACGCTTTTCTACATGGTGAATTGACTGAAAAAGTTTATTTGCGTCCTCCGCAAGGATTTGCTCGTGATGCTCCGAACAAGGTGTGTAAGCTTCTCAAATCGCTTTACGGGTTGAAGCAATCCCCAAGATGTTGGTTTCACACTTTTCAGAAAGCTTTACTTGATTATGGTTTTCGCCAGTCTAGCTCCGATTATGCCCTATTTTCTTTGGTACGTGGTCCTGTTGAGCTATATGTGCTCGTATATGTTGATGATTTGGTGATTGGTGGAAATGATTCAGCAACTATTGCTGCATTCAAAGAGTATCTTCATAGTTGTTTTCATATGAAGGATTTAGGTGCTGTGAAATATTTTTTGGGCATCGAGGTGGCTCGCCAACCGGAGGGCATATTTCTTTGCCAACAGAAATATTGTCTAGACATTGTCACTGAGTGTGGTTTGTTGGGTGCTCGTCCTGCACCAGTGCCAATGGAGCAGAATCACAACCTTGGGCGTGCGGTGGATAAGTTTTATTCCAATCCGACTCAGTATCGACAGATTGTTGGTCGCCTGATTTACTTGATTTATACTCGGCCTGATCTCAGTTATGCTGTACATATCCTCTCGCAATTCATGCAGGCACCACGTCAGTCTCATTGGGATGCCGTAATACGAGTTGTCCGTTATTTAAAAGGCACTCCTGGCCAGAGAATTTTCTTTAGTGCATCCTCTGATCTTGCTGTTACGGGTTATTGTGATTCGGATTGGGCGTCATGCCCCAATACTAGGCGATCTTTGTCTAGTTATGTTTTCTTCCTTGGTGGTTCTTTGGTTTCGTGGAGAACACAGAAGCAATCGATGGTGTCTCGATCGTCGACGGAAGCGGAATATCGTTCAATGGCAGATGCCAATAGTGAGATCAAGTGGCTTCGTGGTCTTGCTAATTTCTTTGGGATTTCGACAACACAACCCATTTTTCTTTACTGCGATAGCCAATCTGCTCTTCAACTTGCTGCTAATCCGGTTATGCACCAGCGGACAAAACACATTGAAAACGACTGCCATTTTGTGCGTGATGACGCTATTGCAGGTTTGATCGAGTTGGCGCATATTTCTACTAAGGAGCAACCTGCTGATCTTCTTACCAAGCCACTTGGTCGAGTTCAGTTCGAGTTTCTTCTGGGCAAGCTGGGCGTTCGTAACCTTTACGCTCCAGCTTGAGGGGGAGTATTGGAATATACTTTCCGATATTCTCGTATATGTATATTTGTATATTTTCCTTTCTTATGTAATTTCGATATCTTAGAATCTAGGGTAAATGTATGCACATATATATAAGCCTTAAGGCTCAAGGAATAAGGAGAGACTTCCGCAAAGTATTTTCTCACGTTCTAATGTGATTTGATTCTCAGACTAAATGTGATTTGATCATTAGACACAATAAAACGTTCCAAGACGCAGACCCAAAGATTACAACCCCGACTAAAGTGTTATGTTAATAAACAATCATCTTAAGTACCAAATTAACCTACATTACACTAAGATCAGTAGAATACTAAACAGATTTGATTCTCTAACGCTCGTGTTATTACATCTTATGTGACTTGTTGCACCAATCTTCTAAACCGTCGTTTTTCCAACGTTTTTGGCGGTGACAAGAGTGAACGCTCTGTCCCATTCATGACTAACAGATTCTTGAATCTTGTAGTCCCCAATGAAAGGCCACCAAGCTTCTTCAGAACCGTTTGTCCCTGTCCACATGACCTTCTCCGGAACATTCAAGAAATCAAAGTCCAACGGCTTTGCCGGTGACTGTGGCTTCTCGTTAGCCTTTTTGTTGGATTTGGTCTGCCGCTTATAGCTTCCTCTGTCTTCAGAAGGCTACAAAAAAATGAGAGGTAAGAAGACACAAACTTTAAGCTAGAAAGAGATAAATGTTTTCGGGCTCACTTCTGATTGTGTGTCGCCGTTTTTCGCTTTCTTGATTGTCTTTTTAGGCGTTCCGTGTTCCAAGTAGTACATCACCTCCTTCTTGGACCGGAACTTACGACCCGTAACTGGCTCGTAGTAAAACTACATTACAAAACAAGATATTAAGTATTGCATTGTCGTATTTTCCTAAATGGTGAGGAGCTTAATTTCAAATTCAGCATCTTTCAAACAGAGCATCTTCATCCAATTAGCTTATGCATTTATGAAAGTAATCACTAAAATTCACATCCACTTATCTTTAACTAAACAAAACAAAGTCATTTTCTTTTAGCTCTTTAGCTTCTCTCTAGCACTAATGTCCTGTATAAAAAAGCAACATTTCGCCTATGACTAGGTAAGATCAAGATTCTTAATTTGAGTCTCCTAATTCCCAAATATAATCCGAATGCTATGAAAACTTTCCAAATTGAAATCAACAAACAACATACATTCCCAATCTTACGGACGATTCTCAATCAAAATTTTATTTTCTGCAACCATTAATCCAATTCTAAGCACTTGAGCAATTCTCACTCTACAAATTTCGAACAAGAAAGCTCAATTATTGAAAGATAAGTTTCACCTTATCCACGATACCAGCTTTCGTGCCGGAGGTTCGAACCCTGTCTTCGGTTGTCCAGCCGGAAGGCAGCCAGTTACTATCGCCCGGCGACGCGCGCTTCCGCGGCGTAGATACCGCCGGATCAGCCTTGTTTTCCGGCGGTGGTTGCACCTGATCCGTGCCGTTTGACATCCCGGAGCAATGCAGTCTAGGAGGAGGATAAAAGATCGGAACAGTGTGGATGAGGTCGAGAAAGTAAAATTATAAACGACTGCGATTTTAAAGGATTCGTCAAAAAATCAGTTTTATTTGTGTAAAGATCGAATCTGAGTTTCATTTAATAAGACAAAAGTACCCTTGTAACTTACAGTTAAGCCACCAAAGTTGGTCTCGTAAAACGAAACTGTCGTAAGTACTATTGATGAAGCCGTCTAGTTTTTGGGTTTTTAGGCCCAACTTTTTTAAGCTGCAAGACAATTTTTTGAGCTGCAAGACAATTTTTTGCTGCAAGCCATTTGACTTTCATGGTTAATGCAGTATACGATTTTGGCCACCAATTTCATGCATCAGCTGAGGTAATAGAATATTTCACTGTTCAAAATACTAAACAAATAAAGATGCGTCATCAAATTCATAAAACATTCTCAATGTTCATATCCAAAATAATTCTTTTAAAAAATATATTCTTAATGAGATCACACGAGCTGAGTGTTATTAAATAAAATCCATTAATCTACTAATCTCTCTAACTACTAGCTAAAAAGACTTCTTCTGATTATGTAGGGGTGGGAGAAAGCACACAAAAATAGAATCTTGAATCGACACTATTCTTGTGTCTTTTCTTCAATTTTCCCCTCTGTACAAACTGTTGGAGCCAAACACCGTTGAAAACACAGCTTCCTGTTATTCTGTTAAGAAGACCATTCTCTTCAGAACCAGATCGTGCTCTGTGTTCGTGTCGTGATCGTACAGTCTAATATCGACTCCTTTGCCTTCTTGGATTGTTCTTTGCTTATCTGCAGATAGATGACTCAAGATGTGGGTCTAGACGTGGCTTTTGGCCAGCTTAAGTCGGCTAAGATGACGTCACTTCCCGTCCGCTCCTTTGTGATGATACATGGAGGGTTGTTAAGATCTAGTTCAATCGAGACTCCGGGTCGCTTCACCACTTTCTTTCATTGTTCGAGAGATAACTGTAAAGGTTTAAATCCTTATAAACCACCATAGCATGTCAGTCTCTGATTAATAAGAACAGAAGCGGAAGCGTACCTTTTGGATCCATGATTTATGCTCTGAATTTGGCTATGGTTCTTCCACAACAAACCCTGAATGGCTGTAGATCTCTGTTGATGGGATGCAGAGAGTTTTCTGTATTTCTCGTTAGGGTTGCTGCGGGGACCATAACCTCTCTATTTATATAGAGAATAATTTCTAATTCGGCCCGTCATCAAATTAGAAATTACTGAATGTATCCTCACATTAATTTTTCAGAACACTTATACCCCTTAGTCTTTTCTTTAATACCAAAGTGACCACATAAGTTTTGACTACTTTAAATAATGACACTAACACATTGATTATACATGTGTGACCCCAAATAATTCTTACAATCTCCCACTGGGTCACATGTGTATCTGAAAATGTGATAGACTTTATGAGCTCAAAATTGTCATTATATATCAGGGCATAAACAATCACGTCCATTAACTATAGCAACATAGGATCATGGCGGCCTTCGTTATAGCAATCATAACTAAACCTTCCATGGTCACTGAAATCAATATAGTCAAATGACAGAGATCAATTATGAAAAGTGAAGCATGAAAATCACATGAAAAGTGATCAATACATGTCGATTTTCAACTGGTCCTTCTTTATTGAGATCCTTTAACTTTATTGCACAAAGTGTAAACTGTAAAACTTTATTTCTGATGAGAATAAAAAATGTGCTGAAACACAACCAAAACATAGAACCCAAAAACAAATGACAAACTCCCACTAAACCAAATGACCATCAAACACTGAAACACCCATTCGAGCAGTATGCTCATGAAAGACCTTGGGTGGAATACCTTTTGTAAGAGGATCAACAATCATGGAGTTTGTCCCTAAGTGTTCTATAGAAATCTCTACACTTTGTACTCTCTCCTGAACAACTAGGAACTTAATTTCGATAAACTTGGACTTTGTCGCACTCCTATTTTTGTTGGAGTACAAAACAGCTGATTTATTGTCACAATATATCTTTAGTGGTCTTTCAATTCCTTCAAGAATTCGCAGCCTTGTGACAAAATTCTTTAGCCAAAGTCCCTTATTGGATGCCTCAAAAACTGCTACAAATTCTGCCGCCATTGTGGAGGAAGCTACAAGTGATTGTTTTGCACTTCGCCATGCAATAGCTCCACCAGCCAACAGAAACACATAGCCTGAAGTGGACTTTTTACTATCTTGACATCCAGCAAAATCAGAATCAGAATACCCAATGATCTCCAAATGATCTGATCTCTGATATTTGAGCATAAAGTCCTATGTTCTTTGCAGGTATCTCATGACCCTTTTGGCTGCTTTCCAATGGTCCAAACCTGGATTACTTAAGTATCTGCCCAAAACTCCAACAATGTACGCTAAATCTGGACGTGTACAAACCTGAGCATACATCAGACTTCCTACTGCAGATGCATAAGGAATCTTTTGCATTTCCTGAATTTCCAAATTTCCTTTTAGGGCACTGACTGAGAAAAAATTTATCTCCTTTAGCGACTAGGGTATCACTTGGTTTGCAATCCTGCATGCCAAATCTCTTGAGTATTTTATCGATATAGCTCTTTTGTGATAATCCAAGAATACCTCGAGATCTATCTCGATGAATCTGGATCCCTAATACAAAAGATGCTTCACCAAGATCTTTCATCGCAAAATTTTCCTTAAGAAATCTCTTGGTCTCATGCATCATGCCTATATCGTTGGTAGCCAGAAGTATGTCATCAACATACAATACCAAGAAAATACACTTACTCCCACTGAAATTCTGATACACACAATGTTCAACCAAATTCACCTCAAAACCAAAGGAGGTGATTACCTCATGAAATTTGTGGTACCATTGACGAGAAGCCTGTTTTAGCCCATAGATGGATTTCTTTAGTTTACAGACCATTTTCTTTGAATCACCCATTACAAAGTTTTCTGGTTGCTCCATATAAATCGTCTCATCAATGTTTCCATTGAGAAACGCTGTCTTGACATCCATCTGATGAAGCTCTAAATCATAATGTGCAACAAGAGCCATGATTGTCCTAAAAGAATCCTTTGAAAAAACTGGAGAAAAGGTTTCTTTGTAGTCAATCCCTTCTTTCTGAGTATATCCTTTAGCCACTAGACGAGCCTTATACCTCTCGACATTACGACTTGAGTCCAATTTGGTTTTAAATATCCATTTGCAACCAATTGGTTTCTTTCTTCTGGTAACTCGACGAGGTCCCAAACTTTGTTGTCTAGCATTGACTGATACTCTTCTTCAGAAGCTTTAACCCACTTATCTGATTTGGAACTACCCATTGCCTCACGGAAGTTGATAGGATCATCTTCCAACTGGGTTTGATTTTCCTCTTGTTCCATAAGAAACACTATGTAATCATCCAGAATAGCGCTTCTTCTTTCTCTAGTGGATCGCCGCAAAGGCACTTGTTCTTGTTGCACCACTTCTTGAGGATCTGAATTTGACCTTCATGTTCGATAACATCATCATCTTCATTTGGAGTAAGTACTTCTGTATCAACTTGAGGTTCCAAATTTGCATTGTCAAAAGCAACTATATGAATCGGATTAGAAACTAGAACCGATTCTTCCTCAAAGATGATGTCCTGAACTTTATTTCTCCCCCGAAATCAATATCCTCAAAGAACGTGGCTGTTCCCGTCTCAAAAATAATTTTCTGTGTGGGATCATAAAACTTATAGCCCCTAGATCGCTCCGAATAACCAACAAAGTAACTGCTCACAGTTCTGGAGTCCAATTTCTTTTCATATGGCCTGTAAGGCCTTGCCTCAGCTGGACATCCCCAAATGTGCAAATGCTTCAGACTAGGTTTTCTACCAGTCCAAAGCTCATAAGGTGTCTTTGCAGTTGCTTTAGTTGGTACTCTATTAAGAATGTAAGCTGCAGTCTTTAGTGCCTCTCCCCAGAGTGATTCAGGCAAGGTGGAATGACAAATCATACTCCTTACCATGTCCTTAAGAGTGCGATTGCGTCTCTCAGATACACCATTCATACTGGGAGACCCAGGCATAGTGTACTGAGGAACAATTCCACATTCCTCTAGGTATCTAGCAAAAGGTCCTGGACGTTGTTCACCTGAACCGTCATACCGACCGTAATATTCACCACCACGATCAGATCTGACAGACTTTATCCTTCGCTCAAGTTGGTTCTCAACTTCAGCCTTAAACTTCTTGAACACGTCTATAGACTCTGACTTTTCATGAATAAGAAATAAGTATGCATATCGAGAATAATCATCAATGAATGATATATAAGTATTGTTGACCGTTCCAAGAAGCCGTAGGGAATGGTCCACAAATATCTGTATGTATCAACTCAAGGACTTCCGTAGCTCTATATGCACCTAATTTCTTCTGTTTAGTCTGTTTTCCTTTAATGCAATCCACACAGACGTCACAATTTGTGAAGTCAATAGAACTCAATATACCATCCGACACAAGTCGCTCAATTCTATTTCTAGAAATGTGACCTAAGTGTTTGTGCCACAGAGTTCCTGAACTTGCATTTTCAAACTTTCGTTTAGTACCCCTTGATTCAACACTTAAACTTTCATCATGAGAAGTTAAAGCGTCAAGCATATAAAGACCGTGATTTTTCATAAGTGTACCAGTTCTAATTAAAATTGAATTTAAAGACAAAATAGCTTTTCCATGCTCAGTCAGACAAGAATAACCAGATATGTCTAAATAAGAACCGGAAACCAAATTCCGTCTAAAAGACGGTACAACAAAAGTGTCTTTCAAATCCAAAAATTGACCAGTACTGAAAAACAATCTAAAATGCCCAATTGCCTCCACATCCACCGCAAAACCATCAGCCACATGAATGCGTCTTTCAGCTTCAGTTGGTTTTCGGTAGCTCAGGCAACCCTGTAATGAAACACTGATGTTAGTAGTTGCACCTGAGTCTAACCACCAAGTGTTTCTGGGTACTTCAATTAAGCTCACCTCAGAACAGACCATAGCAAGGAACATACCTTTCTTACCACGCCAAGCATGGTACTTTTGGCAGTCCTTCTTCATGTGTCCAGTTTTCTTGCAAAAGAAGCAGGTATCTTCATCCTTAGTGCTTCTTTTGAGATGGACCCTTAGCAGCATCATTCTTAACAACCTCAATTTTCCTTCTTTTGCCCTGACCTTTAGAGGTGTTAACCATATGAGCACTTTCAGACCTTTCTTGTTTCATCCTATCCTCCTCATTCACACAATATGAAATAAGCTCATTAAGAGCCCATTTCTCCTTACGTGTGTTGTAACTGGATTTCAACTGATTGAATTGAGGAGGAAGGGAGTTCAAGACAAAATGTATGAGCACTTCTTCCGGAAGCTCAATCTTGAGAGTCTTGAGTTTTGAAACAATATTGGACATTTCCAAAATGTACTCTCTTATGTTTCCTTTGCTGTGATACCTCATGGTACTAAAGCGATACAGTAGCGAACTTATTTCTGCCTTATCGCTACTCGCAAAACGCAAGTCCATCTCAGCAAGGAACAGTTTGAGATCAGAGATCTCCTCATTACCTCTAAAGGTTTCTGGAATGGTGTCCAAAATGATCATTAAACCAATGCGATTAGAACGTTCCCACTTCTCATGAACTGCCTTATACTCAGCAGTGCTGGTATCTGTAGGAGAAGCAGGTTGTTCCATCCTTAACGCAAGGTCAAGATCCATACACCCTAAAACAATCTTAACTTTACTTTTCCATTCTTTGTAATTGGAACCGGTAAGAGTTAGAATTGAACTTAAGTTTGCAGATACTGCAGTAAAACTCGCTGCAAAAATTGAACAATCTTTATTAGTAATTTACTACTAAACCGAATTAAATCAATAAATAAAAATAAACAATTGTACGACCCATCTCAAGATATCAAGTGCAACATTAATATCAAGTCTTTGGACAGTAATATTAACTACTAGTGATACTCTTGTTGTAACAATCAAACACTGACAATAATGCATGATAAACAATAAACCTATCTTTGGATCGATTTATCATTCACATGTTTATTCCTAATAATTATCATGTGTTTATTATCACAGGTATGTGTGTTATTCGGCCAAATACAAAACCTACCTTTGGGTTAATTTAAAATTCGCATGAATATACATACACACATAACATTTAATATTATCCATGAAAAAATATCCACAATAGAGGTTACTTTGGCAACATATTGCATCATTAATCCACTTTAAATATTAAACTTGCACAATCAAAAATATTTATTGATTAAAAAACTTAATTATATTCTTGCGCGCACATATAACATAAAGTCTGGGGCTCTATATGCAAGAATGTTACAGCGGCAAAACGGTTGAAGACAAACAGGAAAGGGTCGCCCATATTAGCGCAATCTGGGTTCGAATCCCTGGTGATGCGTTTTTCATTTTAATTAAAACGAATTGGGCCTTAGTGGAATATAACCAAATTCGGGCTTTAATGAAACTTGGGCTTAAATGCAACTTCAATCAAAATTGGGCCCAGACCCAGTGCACAGTTTCATTAACAACATTTCCAAAAATTACGAAAATGCCCATGTCTTCAACCTTAGGGTAAATCCTAAAAATAGCCAAGGCTAAAACCAGATCTTAAAATTTGCTCAAAATTTTCGAAAAAAATTTCTAGAGTTTCGAAAAAACTTTATGAGCATGAAACTTTATAAATTTTCAAAGACTAAATTTGATAATTGCTCCCAAAATTCCGAAAATATATTATAATTTTCAAAAAAACAAACCATATGAGCAATAATCTAGATCTGAAAAACAATTACATAAACACAGATCTAAAAATTTAACAATAAATCACAGATCCCAGAATTCTAATCTAGGCATAAACTTTAGAGAAAAATTAGATTCAACAATCTAAATTTTTTTCACAAAAATAAATCTGAATTTATTTCTTAAAATAACCTGATTATCAAACAGAAACTGAACATGATGGCTCTGATACCAATTGTAAAGGTTTAAATCCTTATAAACCACCATAGCATGTCAGTCTCTGATTAATAAGAACTGAAGCGGAAGCGTACCTTTTGGATCCATGATTTATGCTTTGAATTTGGCTATGGTTCTTCCACAACAAACCCTGAATGGCTGTAGGTCTCTGTTGATGGGATGCAGAAAGTTTTCTGTATTACTCGTTAGGGTTGCTGCGGGAACCATAACCTCTCTATTTATATAGATAATAATTTCTAATTCGACCCGTCATCAAATTAGAAATTACAGAATGTATCCTCACATTAATTTTTCATAATATTTATACCCCTTAGTCTTTTCTTTAATACCAAAGTGATCACATAAGTTTTAACTACTTTAAATAATGACCTTAACACATTGATTATAAATGTGTGACCCCAAATAATTCTTACAATAACTCCTCTTCTTAATTTTTTTGCGTCTTCCTTTTAGTTCTTCTTTAGGGTTTTGAGAGGACTCTGCGTTGAACAAGCAATGAGTCTTCAGGTTTTCATCTATCTTCGTTGGAGAAGCAGAGAAGAAAGGCAATTCGTTTGGATTGGATCTCATGCAATTCTTTCACGGCTCTTGGGTTATACTTGTTCTACTTCTCTTCTTTGTTGGAGATATAGTAACGTCCGTGAGAAGCATCGATGTTGCCGTAGAAGCCAAGGAAGATGACTCTTAAGGTCGTACCGGAATTCTTGTTCCAAACAGAAATACAGTATTTAGTTCATCCTTCTTCGTCGGAAATATAGAAACGTCCGTAAGAGGCATCACGTTGCCGTGGATGCCAAGGAGATAACTTGGCTAAGGTTTTCTGATTACTTGGCGTCGAAGGAAGCTAAGAAGAGAGACATCTCCTTTGGATCTAAAAGGTTCATAATCATATGTGCCCTTGCATACTTGGTTGACTACTTAGTTAGAGAAAAGAGAGAACTGGTTATTGATTAAGGAATTTGCATGGCAATACAACTAAGCGCTTAGTTTTTTAATGTGTTTTCTTTATCAACAAAATTTAATTAATCTTACATGGGTAAGGAGATTATTGTTAGAGAAAATCAGGTGAAAAATATTAGAAAATCAACCATCTAATATAAGTGGCTACTATTTATTTTAGTTGAATGCAATACTCTGAAGTTAATATCTATTTCTCCTCTTTCTTCTTCATAGAGATTTTATTTTCATCTATTATTTTGCTATCAATCTTTTCAATAAATCTAATTTACTGTTTTTTCTTTTTTCCTCTCCATATGCTATGAAATGAATATCGGTTTAGTTGAAAACACATCATTTAATTTTATTTATAACATATCAGATGACGTGCTATTTTGTTATATTTACCAACTTAACATGCTATTATTTATAACATATTTAGTTAGTATTCTATCTCTTCTTTAATCTCTCTACTCTCTTCAAACTTTCATCTTTTCACTTTCGACTAAGTATTTTATGCTTCAAACTATGTCAATGCTTGTAAGTTGTATGATCTACGGATCATAGTTTGTAAATTTATGAATGAAATCCGTTTAACAAAAAAAAAACATCTAAGCATTAATTTTTAATAGCTTATATAATATATGAAATATACATAATACAATATCTTTAAAGTTTAAACCCTATCAAATGTAACCAAATCTAAAATCATTTAAAAATAATTCTGAATCCTTGATCCAATAAGCGCCCCGTTTGATGGAGCCGAATCATCATTTCTAACAAAGCTATTATAACAAATAATTAAATATCATGTTGAAATTTACTCAGACTTTTGGAGTTTGCAAACTGTTAGATACATTTTACATCGATTAAAGATATAGTTAATCCAGCATCAATCGTATAATAATATTCCCCTCGACAAAGACAGTTTAATTTCACGACATTCCATATTTGAACAAGTAGGTTAAAAAGTCATCACAGCTTCTTACAAAACGAGATCTTGGAAATTAAGAAGATATACATATGACAAACTAGACTCTCACATTCTTTATTCTCCCCATATTAGGATCAATGGATCATTCATGTCATATAGATTTCACTTCAAATATATGAAGCCTCGTTCTTGTTGGGTTTCTTGAATCGCTACAGCGAACCCGAATTTTTTCGACTAAGTCGTCGAATATGGTGTGGTATGGTTTCATAAATACTATCCACAGAATCCTGCATTTGTTTATTCCAAAAATCTCCATATTCAAATTCAGTTTTTACAAATTATTACCCAACCAGAATTGAAAGTCCATACCAAATATTTTCATCCATTTCATCATCTCTGCCATCATCACTGTCATTATCACTATCGGTGTAAATATTGGGCTTGAATAAGCTTGTGCAGACTTTTCTTCCAATGTTTTCATGAATGTCTATATACTGAAGAAAAGAAGAAAAGGAAACATAAATTGGATATCATGACCCCTGAAAAAAAATCAAAGAAAAAATTATTTTAAACTTAAATCTTTAGGGAAGATAGGAAAAGTTCTTCCACCGGTGGTGAATGACATTGTGGGCATCGAAGAAATTTTATCGCCGTCCACCCTAAGATCATATATGATTCCAAATACTGTCAATCATAAACTAGAACAAATAAACAAATCATTAAATCTTTAATCTTAACATTGTGCAGTTAAAGTTGGCCTTAAATACCAGCTCAGCAAGCATGTGCTTGTAACCCTTGAATTAATATTTTTTTGGATTTCATGTTATTATAAATTTATTGGTTTATATGATTTAGAAAAAAAAAATGAAGACTGGTCTAAATTTCATGTTCAAAATCTGTTCACAAGCACAATTTTTTTCTTTGTTCTAAACTTAAAAAAATCAGAATCGGTTATGTAAACATAATATAAGTGGCTACTATATTCTATACGTTTGAATGAATATTGTAAATTGAATATCTTTTTCTTCTTCATATAAAATTTTATTATTCATCTATTATCAATATTTCAAAAAAAAAATCTAATTTACTTATTTTTTTTCTCTCCATATGCTATGAAATAAATATGTCTTGAATTGAGAACACTAATATTTTAGTTAATTATAACATATCAAATGACGCGCTATTTTTTGTATATTTACCTACATAACATGCTATTATATATATTGAATTTGAAATTTATATGTGTGTTTCTTTCCATTTGCATTGTTTATTTTGCTTATTTGAAATCTTGTGGTTTTGCCTTTTTTTCTTCTTTTGTTGTTGGACCGTTTCTTTCTTGATGGCTAGGTTGGTTGTGCTGGTTTTGGAGGTGCTCGCGGTGGTGGCTTAAACGCTAATTATCGCAGTGGTGGCGTCTGAGGGCTTGCGGTGGTGGCTTAAGGGACTTCAGAGTTTGGATCTGGAAAATATTTTGCGCTTAGTGGAATCAATATAGTTGATGACAAAAATTCTCTTGGACATTCATAATTCTACCAAACATAAAGTGACGATCATAACGTAGTAGGGCATTCTTAAAACCCTTCTGTGTTTATTTGACGAGATGCTTTCTCAGCTCACTCTTGCCATTAGTCGAATTTGATTTGTCTGTGCTACGGGCTAGTTACGATGGTCTGATCCTTGCAAAACAAGATAAACATTGTCACCTCTAGTTGATGTTAAAGTGCAGATGGTTATATAAGAAAAGGAACAAAATTACGAGTATCTAAAAATTGAGTTCATTAACTTGCTTTCTGTTTTGGCTAAAAAAAATTCTTAACTTACAATAACTGGCATGTTGATTATTTACTTCCATAGCTTATCTAAATATGTAATTATTTTAAAATGTTTTCTCTCAACTACAAAACGGTTTTCTAATTTCTATTATGCTATCCATTTATAAATTAACTTCTATTCATGAAAAAATCACTAAAAACCAGCCACTCGTTCACGTCTAAATAATCTGTAACAATATATTTTTCCGTAACAATAATAATCACATCATAAATCATAACGTTAAGTCTTTCTATCAATTCTTTCACGATCATTATGGGATCTAAACTTCTTCCTCTGCTTTTATTCCTAACTCTCACTCTCATCTTCTTTCCCTTCTCCGCCGCATATCACGTCGGCGTAAACTACGGCACGGTGGCCAACAACCTCCCACCGCCTCATCAAGTCGTCAACTTCCTCAAAACAAAAACAATCATCAACCACGTCAAAATCTTCGACGCAAACCCCAAAATCCTCGTCGCATTTTCCAACATCACCGGAGGAATCTCCCTCACCGTCACCGTCCCAAATTCCGACATCTCTTCCCTCTCCAAGCTTCCAAAAGCACGATCATGGCTCACCGATCACATCCTCCCTTTCCTCCCGGCAACCTCAATCCGTTACATCGCTGTCGGAAACGAAGTTATTAGTCTTGTGAGAGAAAGGAAGAAGACGAAGTTGGAAAAAGTTTGTTATTCATTTCTTATCTTTCTGTTACACAGTAAATGCTCTTATATAGAGCTTGTATCACTCGGTTTACATCAAACCGTACAATGTATTATACTAAACCGTATATCTCAATCTAATACACTTATATTCCCCCTCAAGATGAGCCATATATGGAAATTAAGCTCATCTTGCCAATGAGACTTTGAAACAAAGTAGGGTATAAGGGTTTAGTTAAGACATCAGCAAGTTGGTGATGGGTCTTGACATGCATTGTTTTGAGAAGTCCACTTTCAATGCGTTCCCGAGTAGTATGACAATCGTTCTCCACGTGTTTCGTCCGCTCGTGGAAAACAGAGTTGTTAGCTATTTGAATGGCAGCCGTTGAGTCGTAAAACAGAGGAACCGGCTTGTGTTGAGGAACCTGCAGTTCAGCGAGCAACTTGACTAACCAAGCTATTTCACAACTAGCCAGGGCCATAGCTCTATACTCTGATTCAGTGGATGAACGAGAGACGACATTTTGTTTCTTGGATTTCCATGATAGAAGAGAATCTCCAAGAAACATACAAAATCCAGTAGTTGATCTTCTTGTATCCGGGCATGAAGACCAATCAGCATCACAAAACGCCTTAAGTTGTAAATCACTTTTAGCAGGATAGAATAAACCCAAAGCGATTGTACCTTTGATGTAATGGACAACTTTGTGAGCTGCTTTGAGATGTGACTTTGTAGGAGCTGATGAAAACTGGCACAGCTTGTTAACCGCAAATGAGATGTCTGGTCTGGTGATTGTCAAGTACATTAGTTTGCCAACCAAACGACGATACTCTTCAGGGTTTTCTAGTACCGGTTCATCAGTGTGTAGACTTAGTTTGAGACTTGGCTCCATAGGGATACTAGAAGGTCTGCAACCAAGTAAACCAGTTTCTTCTAGTAGTTCCAATGCATACTTTCTTTGACAAACTGAAATGCCTTTGCTGGATCTGGCAATTTCAAGTCCAAGGAAGTATTTCAGAGGCCCTAGATCACGTAGTTTGAATACCTTTGCAAAGTCTAATTTCAATTGATTCACAACTGCTTCATCACTGCTTTCAATGACAATGTCATCGACATAAACCACTAAGGCAACATAACTTTCTGTGGTTTTGCGTATGAACAAAGCATGATCTGCATAAGATTTCCGGAAGCCCAAATCAGTGAGAGCAGAGCTGAATTTCAAGAACCATTGTCGAGATGCTTGTTTAAGTCCATAAAGAGACTTTTGTAGTTTCAGAACAGCATTCTCAGGCAATGATTCCCCCTTCCTTGATGCATAACCTGGAGGCAAAGACATGTATATTTCCTCATCTAGGTCTCCATTAAGGAAAGCATTAGAAATGTCTAACTGGTGTAAAACCCAATTCTTTGCAGAAGAAACTGCGATTAGAGTTTTAACCGTTGTCATCTTGGCCACTGGGGAAAAGGTGTCTACAAAATCAATTCCTTCCTTTTGCGTAAAACCTTTAGCAACTAAACGAGCTTTGAATCTTTCCAATGATCCATCTGCATTTAGTTTAACTTTGTAGATCCATTTACAGCCAATAGGTGTCTTGCCTTCAGGTAAAGAACATACAACCCAAGTGTTTGTAGCTTCTAATGCACCTTCTTCAACACCTATAGCATCACACCATTCCTTGATTTTCTTTGCCTGAGTATAACAACTCGGTTCAGCATATTTATCAACAGCACATACGAATGCCTGATGATCCAAGGATATCTTAGTGAGGTTGATATATGCATGAATAGGATATCTTGTATCAGAAATGGTGTTGCAGTAATAGTCTCGGAGATGAGCTGGAAGCTTGGTCTGTCTTTTAGATGTATCATGAATAGAGACTGGTGTTACAGTTTCTTTCTCCTGTTCTGGATAAGGATCAAAGTATCTTTCCGGATCAGGGTCTTGATGATAGATCTCAGCTTCTGGATATAGATTGGGTTGAGTTGTCTCTTTTGGAATGTTAAACCAACCATCTTGTCTTTCTGTATTCTTGGGAAACGGCAAAGAAGACTACATGCCTGGAAATAGATATCTGGTGAGATTCTAAATCTAGTAGTTTGTAGCCTTTATATCCAGCAGGATATCCCAAGAACACACAGGCTCTGGATCTCGGCTCAAACTTGTGTCTTTGATTTGTTGAAGTTGACTTGTAACAGAGACAACCAAAAACCTTGAGCAACGAATAATCCGGAGGCTTGTTGTTAAGAAGTTCAAATGGTGATTTGTTCTTTAACAAAGGAGAAGGGAGCCTGTTGATCAAAAACACAGCTGATAATATGCAGTCAGACCAATATTCAAGAGGCATATTAGATTGAAACATCAACGATCTCGCAACATTTAGGATATGTTGATGCTTTCTTTCTACTGAATTCTGCTCAGGTGTTTCAGGGCAAGAGTGGTATGAGATTATACCTTTCTGCTTGAACAGGTTTTCGAATTTTAGCTCAGGAGCATTGTCTGACCTCACGGCTTTGACATGTTTCTGAAACTGAGTTTCAATCATTTGCAGAAACTCTGGGAAAATTCGAAGAACATCTGCTTTTGTCTTCATCATATATACCCAAATGGCTCTGCTGTGATCATCCACAATCGTTAAGAAGTACTTGTAACCATCTGATGATTCAACTGAGAAAGGTCCCCAAGTGTCCATGTGGATCAAGTCAAATGGAGAAGGTGATATGTTGTTGTGTGAAATAAAAGGGAGATGTTTCTGTTTTGCAAGTTGACATGTTTCACAATGAACAAGGTCGTCTTTATTTCTCTTCTGCAAACCAAGTACATTGTTCAGAATATCAATTTTGGAGTAGGAAGGATGTCCTAGCCTACTGTGCCATAAAGCGGCATCAACAACAACAGAGAACAAATTGTTTGATTGACATTAATGGGTGAGTTCAAGAGAGATGAGCTGTCCAGCACGTATAGCCCTGCAATCTGATTACCCTGTCCAATCTTCAATTCCCTGGTATGATCCTGTATCACACAACAGGTTTCATCAAAATAAATTCTTGATTTCAAATCTCTTGTCAACTGACTGACGCTGAGAAGGTTGAGTCGAAAGTCTGGAATGAACAACACGTTGTTTAGAGTTATGTGTTCATTCAGCTTGATGATTCCAACTCCTGCAATCTTTATATTTATGCCCGTAGGGAGTGTAACCGAAGATCCCAAATCATATGAGATAGTGGTGAATAAGGCTTTATCATGAGATACATGATGGGTAGCTCCACTATCAATGATCCATGTTTGAGACCTTAAAACACTCTTAGTGGCTGTCAATATTCCAATAAAGCAGAGAGTAGAGAATGAGAAGTTCATACCCGTATATGCAGAACCATTAGTATCACAATTTGAAGATGAAGCTATTGTGATTGGTTGAGCAGAGGAGGGTTGAAGTTGTGTGCTGAAATAGGCAATCACATCTTGTATCTGAGTCTTTGACATTCCTCCAATCATTTTTGCAATATCAGTAGGACCAATAGATGTATCTTTCTCATCTAAGGCGAGATTTGCCACTACTGGTTTAGCTGACTGAGAAGATTTGTCTTGAGGTGTTTGCTTGTGCTTAAACCCTGGAGGATATCCATGTATCTTGTAACACTTGTCCACAGAATGACCATTGTAGCCACAGTGTGAGCATTTTACTTTCGCCTGCTTTGGGATGTTGTATGATGATTGAGCAGCATTCAGAGATGCATTATTTGGAACCGAGACATTGAAGGCAGAGGCATTGACCGGAACTATGTTGCGTTGATTGTGATCTTGATCCAAAAGATTATAGATCTCCGCAAGTTCAGGAATGGTCTTTTTCATGATGATCTGACTTCGAACTGTTGCATATGAGTCATTTAATCCAGCAAAAAACTTGATGACTTTTGCATTCTCGGCTCTTTTGTCCAAGGTTTTACAGCAATTACAATTGTGGCAAGTATTGACACATTCTGCTCCATCAAGATCATCCCAAAGGGTCTTAAGCGAGGTGTAGTATTCAGATAATCCCATTGTACCTTGTTGAAGAGACCAGATTTGTTGAGTGAGTTGGTATGATCGAGGAAGATTGGTGATGTGAAACCGAGTCAACAAATCTTTCCAGATCTCAGCAGCATCGTTAAATCGGAGAATACTTTTGTAGATCTGCTTTGTAACAGAGTTCAATATCCAGGATTTCACCATGCTGTTGCAGCGAGACCAAATCCTAAATATAGGTTGAGATTCAAGAGGTCTGGGTAAAGATCCATCAATGAATGCCAATTTGTTCTTCGCATCTAACGCAATAGTCATAGCAATACTCCAGGATGAATAGTTTGTTCCATCTAAGATCTCAGAAATGATTACATTTCCCGGATTATCTCCATTTGTGAGATTATATGGAGAATAGATGTCCGTGTAATCGAGAGAAGGAGGATTGGGAGTTTGTTGATGAAGATTTGGTGGATTCTGGAAATTTGGGGAAGGATTTTGTGTAGAAGGTGATGGAATCGGTGATTCTGGGGAGGATTCATCATGAGAAGAAGCTCGACTAGCTCGAGATCGAGTTGTTACCGTACGATGCCGCAATGATTTGACGGAAACCATCGTATTTGTCGGTGTTCAACTTTGGGTGAGAAAATCCATGGTTTAGATGAATCGGAAGAGAATCGCCGGTGAAACGCCGGAGAATCGACGGAAAACGGAAGAGAAATCGAAGAATCGGTTGAGTTTTAGCTCAACGCTCTGATACCATATTAGTTTTGTGAGAGAAAGGAAGAAGACGAAGTTGGAAAAAGTTTGTTATTCATTTCTTATCTTTCTGTTACACAGTAAATGCTCTTATATAGAGCTTGTATCACTCGGTTTACATCAAACCGTACAAATGTATTATACTAAACCGTATATCTCAATCTAATACACTTATAGAAGTCATCGCCACATCCGACAAAACCCTCATCGCTCACCTCCTTCCCGCCATGGAGGCGCTTACGTCAGCATTAGCCCTAGCTAACGTCACTGGAATCTCCATCTCCACGCCTCACTCACTCGGTATCCTCCAGACCTCAGAGCCACATAGCTCCGGGAAGTTCCGTAAAGCCTACGTTAAAGCCATCTTCGAACCCATCCTCAGCTTTCACAACCGCACCAAGTCTCCTTTCATGGTTAACCCGTACTCGTATTTCGGGATCCGACCCGAAACGCTAAACTACGCATTGTTCAACTCAAACGACGCCGTTTCCTACGATCCCGTTACTAAGCTGAGATACACCAACATGTTCGACGCTCAGCTTGATGCGGTTTACTCCGCGATGAATCGGCTCGGGTACGGTGACGTGGACATCCTTGTGGCGGAGACCGGTTGGCCTTCGGCTGGTGAACCGAATCAGACCGGCGTCGGTTTAGATTACGCGGCGGCTTATAATAGGAACCTTATAAAGCATGTTAATTCCGGTAAGGGCACTCCATTGATGCCAAACCGGGTTTTCGAGACTTGCATTTTCGCTCTCTTTAACGATAATCTCAAACCGACGGTTTCCGAACAAAACTTTGGTTTGTTAAACCGGACTTTACTCCGGTGTACGATGTCGGTATCATGAAAACTGATCAGGTATGCCCACGTGGACTCGCCTAAATGTTCTGAAACAAATCTTGACCGTTTATTTGTTTATTAATCAGGTAATGGAGACTACTCCGTTGGATTCGACGAAGAAGTGGTGTGTACCACGATCGGAGGCAAGCACGTAGGCGTTGCAGAGGAACACTGATTACGTGTTCAGTGTTGGATTGGATTGTGGGCCTATACAATCTGATGGGCCTAGTTTAAGCCTGATACGGTGTGGTCGCATGCATCGTATTCCATGAACCTGTTTTGTCATACCTTTTGTCTGTTTGACTTTGACTGTGACTTTAACCACACAGGCCTGATCACCACCGTTGATCCAAGTACGTGAACAACAACAACTCTTGAACATTTACATAGATGATGAACTAGCTAGTAATATTCGAATACTTTACTTTAGGATTTAACTGTTTAAACAGCTTATGAGGATTGCAGCTACACTTTGCAACTAGCAATGAAGTTGAATAAAACCATCGGTTGGATTCAGCGAACTATGAAAATGTCATTTAGGCAATTCAATTTTTGTATCAAAAAATTCAAAATTACAATATTCTCATATGTATAAACAAAAGCCAACATAACTATATTGATATTGGTCACTATGATATATGGATTATTCATAGATCCCCATTGAATTACAAATCATTTCAATAAAAATAGGATTTAGACAGTAATTCCAAACTACAGGAGTATCAATTGAAAGAACAGTATCGAAGTTGTGTGAACCACTAACTAACAACCGATTTATTCTGGATTCGTACTTATAAACCGGACCAAAATTTGAACTAACCTAGACTTCAGTCTTGAGTTGGTGCGTTCTGGTTGAGCTCGGCAAACCGCATACCTACACGCATTGTGTGCTTGAGGAACTTCTCGGCACATCGCATAACACAAGTCTCTTCTTGTTTCTGCAGAGTTTTGCGCGTGAATGTATCGACACAGTCCACAAAACATCTCTCGACTAGCGAATTGTACATCCTCAAGCTGAAATTTTCCACACACAAAACAAAACCATAAAAAGCAAAAGTTACGGTCTTGAACGTGGAACAGAGAACTCGAAAACAGAACAAAGAAATCCCATTTTCAAGACAGAACATCTTTAGAAAATAAAAAAAAACCAATCAAAACAGATCGATCCTAGACAATTGCACAATGCATAACTTGTTGTCACTTAATGTCCAAAAGCAGGCTGCACTGGTATTAAAGGAGATCTTTTTCTTCTCAGCTTCCAATGTCAGACAACAAGCCACAGGTTCAAGCTGGTTGCGAAATATAAATAATGTGAAGCTTTCCAAGTTTTTGATAAGAGCAGACAACAAACACAAAAAACGGAACACAACAATTTCACCTTGAAGAGATTCTTGAGAAAACAGTTTGACATTCATGGTTCTGAATTCAGTTCAAATTTTGGCCAATGAAGCTAAAGAACCCAAATACATTAGCTACAAAACGAGTTATATCCATCGACCTCACAAACACTATACCTTGATTCAGTTTTCATCTGCATATCTAAAAAAGAGTGAGACATTTTTCCCCAACACAAAAACCTACCTCAAATTGGCATTGAAATTTAAAGAACAAAGATTTCTCCTTGTATATATATCTATGTCCAAACAATTTACACTTAAACAGGCAAACAATATACATTTTAACAGTATTTTACTCAGATGTACATATGCGCAAAAGTATAATTCAGTAAAAATTCAAAAACACAAATGATTCAAGATCGATGCTAATCGAATATCGTATCGAGGTTAAAACATTTCAATACATCCAAAAATACAAGTTATAAATACATGAATTCGCTGATCTTCCAAAGCACCAAAAACTTTTACGACATTCCCAAATTTTTTTTTTTTAAAAAAAAAAAAAAAAAAAAAAAAAACAGAAGTTGAGAAGAGATTTAGAACAGGAACCTATCACGTAGCTGAAGCTGATCGATCATGGAGGCCATTTTCGCTTTGTCTTCTTCAGGAAGACCCTCGAGTCCAGCCATCATACTCGCGTCCATTTTTCCGCAACCTTTTCGCTTTCTTCGTCTACAGATCAAAAAATTCTTCGTCGCCACCTTATTCTTCTTCTTCTTCTTCTTAAACCTTAATCATCGTCGTTATTGGGCCTGATGGGCTTGTTTTCTTACATCTTGATTATATACCAGTTAGGCCCATTTTGTTTTACCAGTAAAAAATACTCATTTTTAGAATCATTCCCGCTACAAAGCTTTCGACTTTCGATCATTAATGGCGAGATTCTTCGACTTCAGACGAGGGTCAAGAAAATTAGCCGGTGATGATTATGAAAGACGTAATTCATTGCATTTTTTCGCCAGAAAAATTCACTTGATTTAGTTCTATGCATCGCAATTATTCAAAACTTTATTGTCGATTGGGTTTAGAAATGGGCCGAGGAACCCAAGGAGACACATTTTCTCGGGACATTGATCAAGTGGGCGGTTTCTTCTTTAATCAATGCACTTTGTTTGGGAAATATACACACTTTGTCTTGGGACATGTATTCACATTCATACGGTAATGGGAACACTCAAACGTTTCTGGGTCTTTTGTGGTTTGAATCTTTATGCAGTATCATATTATATATAGGCGTAATCACAGTGAAGTTTTCACATTCAAAACTTGATTCCATATCAAAACACTACTGGTTTACTTTTCTATCTTATTTTGTGTTCTTCTTCCTTCAAACTTTCCTTGATCATGGCTAATAGTGCTGTGAAACCCAAGTTTACCCTGAGACTTCTCATTGATGAGGAGAAAAACAGAGTCGTTTTGGCTGAAGCCGGGAAAGATTTTGTTGATGTTCTCTGTAGTCTTTTGACACTTCCCATGGGGACTATTGTCAGGTTGCTTGAGAAGCACCAAGCTCCTCAGTCCTCCGTTGTTGGTTGTTTCCACAACCTTTACAAAAGCGTTTCCGACATGAACGTTGATAATTTCGAGAATCAAGCTCGTAAGAATCTGTTGCTGTATCCAAGGAGTATCAAGGAGAGTTACTGCAGGAAGCTGAAGCTCAACATTGATGACACTAAGGCGACCAAGTTCTTTGTTTGCCCATATTTTGCGTCTTATGAGTCATGCTCTAAGGTATACAGCAATACTAGTTCCTCACAGAGTCGTTGTGGACACTCGATGACCTACGAGATTCAGGTTCAAGAAAGAGAGCAAGGTGATGGCTCTTCAGGGAATAAAGTTGATGGAGTATTCCCTAGCTGCAGAACGTCATTTATCATCACTGATGATCTGAAAGTGGCATTGACCTCTATGGGTCTTGTACTCAATGTCCTCAATGATCTTGGTTATGCTGGTTTTGATAACCTCCAAGAAATGCTTATCGATGTTGGTTTTGAAGAGGTACTTGAATTTTATACTATCCCTAATTACACATTTCTGAATATAGTTTGTTCTCACTTGATTCATTGTCTAAATGTGCAGGTGCTAACGTTGCTAGGTTGTTTATTCACTTCTGAAGCTCCTTTGACTGATACATTCCTGAGGAAACATTGTATGACAAGGAAACGTAAAGCGTTGACACCACTTGGGAAAGAAAGTAGGTTTGCAGGAGATTCAGACAAACAACTAACTTTGAAAGTTTATGTAAGGAAGACAGACAAGGCCATTCTTTACGCTGAGTGCAGAGAAGACTTCGTTGATTTTCTATTCTCTTTTCTTGTCATACCGCTTGAGTTTGCTTGGGAACTTTCTATTGACAATGTTAATATGGGCTGCGTTGGCAATCTCTGCAGAAGCGTGAAAGATCTGAGCTTTGAGAAGCAGAAAGAAGCCATAGCTTCCAAGTGCATTCTTCCTTGTCATTAGAATTTCAGGGCACAACTGCTTGATATTGTCATCCAGGAAGAAGTTTCAGAATATGAATGTTTGCTCCCTCAGTATGGATGTTCAAGTTCACATTGCAGGTTTTCCAGAAAGATTAAGGATGTGCCTTCGAATGGTGATAGGATTGTGAAGTTCACTTCAATGGATCCAAGTTATGGTGGTGTTGGATTTGTGAAGGGAGAAACCAATTTCATAGTGTCAGATGATCTGGTTATTACACCGATGAACTCATCCTCAACAATTTCTTTGTTAAGCAAGTTGCAGATGAACATTAGTGATATTGAGGAGCAAGTGATTAACATTAGCAAAGCAGAGGTATGCTTTTTTTATTTCTTCTTTGTAACTATTCTTGTGAAAATCTTGCTTCTTGTTCTTCTTTTGAATCTACCTTTCTTGCAGGCCGTTAGCTTACTAAGGGCTTCCTTGATCACAACTTCTGTATTAACCAATGGTCTCTCCAACTTTCTTTTAAAGATGAAGCCACAAGCAGCAACTCAGTCAACATCTAAGATACCAAAATCTGAAAAAACTCTTTGAACTTTGATGCATGGCACTTGTTATTTATGGCCATTAGAATCCTGCAGGTGTTGTTTTGGCTTAGATTGTTATCGCCATCTTTCATTTCCGTCTGTTATGTTTCTATTTAATAATAAATAAGTTTAAAATGAAATAATAATTTAAGCAGCTTCATTCTTTCAAGTGACTATGGTCATCTTTTCCCAAATCTCTGTCTAGTTTTTTTTTTAATTTTCATTATGAACACAAATGGTGAAGATAGTTTGGTTTCCCGTCAATGTTATACTAATAGCAAAGCTCTCTATAAAAGTCAAGAAGAACATGCTTCACTCAAATGGCGAAGATATTTATTCCAATTGATGTGAAAATCCAAAACCACTTCAGATTTTTTCAAAAATCTCACTTTTTCTTCTTCTTTTAGAAATCTATCTTGAGTAGAAAGAATTGTAATTTAGCTAATGACAATTCTTGTGTAGACCGACCCTTTGAATCATTGCCAGCTCTGTTCAAGAATTGTCTTCTAGTGATGAAAATAATTGTCAGCTAAAGTAATTACTAATAAATAGCTTAATTGCTTAACTACAAAAAAAAAAACTTTGATCCATATCTATCTGAATCCTACCAATCCAAATACTCCACTAAACTCTAATTGCAGCTTATTGCATTTTTTTTTGTAGATCAAGATTATTGCAGTTTTTTCTCCAACAATAATAGATTCATTGCAGCTTCACAACTACAAAACTCACATGCAAATGAAAGAACTTTAATGAAATTATTGTTTAAACTATACCCCACGTGGGCACCACCTAAATATATAAATTTAAAATATCTTCTCACCAAAATCTAATCACTAGAAGTATCCGCAAAAGCATCTCTCACTCTCTGACACAAATGACATCTGTTTTGTCCTCCTCATCAAACGCGCGTGCACTTTAACCTCGATACACCGCGCGTGCACTTTAACCTCGATACACCGCGCGTGATACACTTCTCAATGATGTGTCTGTGTTTTTTTTTTTAATTTCATCCACCAAACTCTTCACTCACCACTTTCTCTCTCTCTCTCTCTATCCACTTTCCTCCTCTGTTTCTTCTCTTTACCACTCTTCATGACCTAACTCAAAACTAATGGCGAACGTAATTTCCATTTCCCATTTTGCCCCTATCGCGTTCGCCTATTTACTCCTCCTACTCTCTTCCACCACCGCCGCAATCAACGTCACCGCCGTCCTCTCCTCTTTCCCAAATCTCTCCTCCTTCTCCAACCTCCTCGTCTCCTCCGGCATCGCCGCCGAACTCTCCGGCAGAAACTCACTCACACTCCTCGCCGTTCCCAATTCTCACTTCTCCTCCTCCGACGTCGATCTCACGCGCCGCCTACTTCCTGCCAACCTCGCAGATCTCCTCCGTTTCAATGTCCTCACACAATTCCTCTCCGATTCCGATCTCCGCCGTATACCACCGTCTGGCTCCACCGTCGCAACCCTCTACGAAGCCTCAGGCCGTGCAATCGCCGGATCCGGATCCGTTAACGTGACCCGCGACCCGGCTTCCGGCTCCGTCACGATCAGATCTCCGAACTCGAAATCAATCACCGTTTTGAAGCTCCTCGAGACAAAACCTCCCAACATAACAGTCCTCTCCGTCGACTCTCTCCTCGTCCCCGCCGGAATCGATATCACCGCGTCGGAGACTCTCACTCCGCCGCCGACATCGGGAACGTCTCCTAACCCTCCGGCGGGAATCAATCTGACACAGATTCTAATCAACGGTCACAACTTCAACGTCGCTCTCTCACTCCTCGTCGCCTCCGGAGTCATAACGGAATTCGAAAACGACGAGCACGGCGCCGGAATCACAGTCTTTGTCCCCACAGATTCAGCTTTCTCCGATCTCCCGGAAAATGTCAATCTCCAGTCGTTTCCGGCGGAGCAGAAAGCCGTCGTGCTCAGATTCCATGTCCTACATTCGTATTACACACTCGGTTCGCTCGAATCGATAACCAACCCGGTTCAACCGACATTAGCCACTGAGTTAGCGGGAGCCGGGTCTTACACTCTCAACATTTCCCGGGTTAATGGGTCGATCGTAACGATTAATTCGGGTTTGGTTTTGGCCGTTGTGACACAAACGGCTTTTGATCAGAACCCGGTTTCTGTTTTCGGAGTATCCAAAGTGCTTTTGCCTAAGGAGCTTTTTCCAAAATCGGGTCAAACCGTGAATACTCCTCCCGCAACGGCTCCTCCACATGAGATTTCTTTGTCGCCGGAGAGTTCTGTTAATCAGCCGTCGTCTCGATTAGTATCTCCACCGCGTGACGTGGTTTCCTCCGGCGCGGTAAAAATGACCTTGTGGTTGTGTTGGTGTATAGCATTTTGTTTTATATTTTTGGTATGATTTTTTTCTTCTTTATTCCATAAAATGCTTTTAGGGCTTATTTACTGGATTTTTTTTGCGCAATTTACGTCATAATGTTATTTTATTGAGTCCAAAAGAAAAAAACAAATCACCTTCCCATGTAAATTTGGATTGAATGGGCGTTTTTGGGTAAAACCCATGTCCTATTTTTACGAGCTTATAAATCTTTCAATTTCACTTTGATATGCGTGCACTAGTGTCGAGTCATTTTTACCATCACAGTAAATATAATCGATCCGGTAAACTGTATAGGATATTTTAGCTAATTAAAAATTACATCGATATTAATTTTCCCGTGCAAACGTAATTTCCATTTGATTATTTGAAAATATGATAATAATTTGAATTCATTTATTTTTATTTTTGAGTATATTTGTTTATTAGATTTTCTAGCATTTTAGTGTTGGAAAAAATGATCGTGAAAACAATATAGAATAGAAGAGAGTAAATAAAAACATAGTAGTATCTAAATAACTTATTTTAAATAGGTTTGAGATCTTTTGATCACTGTTTTATGTATTTTAAACGTAATTTTTTTAAGGTTCGTATGAACTTATTCGATTTTGATCACTGTTTTATGTGTTTTAAACATCACAAATACCGTCATTCCATTAGTTAGATATATATATATATATATTTCTCTTTTTTAAAAAACTTTTTTGTTAGAATTTGTTTTTAAAATTTTAGTTTTTTTTTTTTGGTTTTGAAACGACATTCCATTATTTTTTAAATAGTTTTTTTTTTAACATTTTTGTTAGATTTTTTCAAAATTTTGAAAACATAAAAAACGGTAAATGCTAAAAAATATAGATTCTATTTTTTTTATAAAAAAAAAATTTTTGTTAATTTTTAAAAAAATTTCGGTTATATGTAATTTTAAAAATGGTTTGATTGACTCTGAAATTAAACATTAAACTATATTTAGACCGTTTTGTTTTAAGTTTTTTTTACACATCATCAAGAACCAATTAAAAAATGATATGTAATTGCAAAATATGACTAAACGGTCTGTTTATTGCCAAAATTTATTTTAGAGCTGACACGTAAGCGAAAAGCTGTAAATTCCCTGTAAAACGTTTTTTAGAAAAAAAAAATTCTAAATATGGTTTTATATAATTTCAAAAACGACATTCTATAGCTTTTTAAATAGATTCTATTTTTTGTTTCTTTTTATATTTTTGTTAGATTTTTTCTAAATTTTGTAAACATAAGAAATGGTAAACACTAAGAGATATAATTTTTAATTTCCATTTGATTGTTTGATAATGTAATAGTAGTTTGAATTCATTTGTTTTTAATTCTTGAGTATATTTGTTTGTTAGGTTTCCTTGTATTTTGATGTTGGAAGACATGATCGTGAAAACAGTATAGAATAGAAGAGAGTAAATCAAATTATAGTAATATCCAAATAATTTAGTTTAAATAGTTTTAAGATCTTTTGATCATTGTTTTATGTATTTTAAACATAATTTTTTTAAATGTTCTTATGAACTTATTCGATTTTGATCATTGTTTTATATGTTTTAAACATCACAAATACCGTCATTCCATTAGTTAGATATATATATATATATATATATATATTTTTATAACTTTTTTGTTAGAGTTTTTTTTTTAATTTCAGTTTTTTTTTAGTTTTGAAACAACATTCCATTACTTTTTAAATAGTTTCCATTTTTTGTTTCTTTTAACATTTTTGTTAATTTTTTTCTAAATTTCGAAAACATAAGAAAAGATAAACACTAAGAGATATAGATTTTTTTAATAAAAAAATGTTTTTGTTAATTTTTCTTTTTAAATTTGGTTATATATAATTTTAAAAACGGTCTGATTGACTATAAATTTAACATTAAACCATATTTGGACCGGTTTGTTTTAAGTTTTTTTTTTACACATCATCAGATAAGAACTAATAGAAAAACGACATGTAATTGCAAAATAGGGCTAAACGATCTGTTTATAGCCAAAATTTTATTTTAGAGCTGACACGTAAGCGAAAAGCTGTAAAACTCGCTGTAAAACATTTTTAAAATTTTTTTCTAAATTTCGTTTTATATAGTTTCAAAAAAGATTTTCTATAGCTTTTTAAATAGATTTCATTTTTTGTTTCTTTTAACATTTTTGTTATATTTTTTCTAAATTTTGGAAACATAAGAAATGGTAAACACTAAGAGATATAATTTTTTTTTTAGAAAAACGTTTTTTAAAAAATTTTTTTGTAAATTTTGGTTTTATATAATTTCAAAAACAGTTTGGTTGAATATCGAATTAAGCATCTAACTGTATTAATTTAAACCGGTTTGTTTTAATTTTTTTACACGTCATTAGTTAGGAACAAATAAAAAAATGACATGTAATTGTTAAATGGGGATAAACAGTTTTTTTTGCAGCCGAAACTGATTCTGGAGTTGACACATAGGCGAAAAACTGTGAAACTCGTTGTGAGTGCGACACGTAAGCAAATCACTACACAAATAAGTATATAGATTTTTTCTAAATTTTGGACAGATATAATATTCATTTGATTGTTTGAAATTTTAACATTAGTTTGGATTCATTTGTTTTTTTTATTCTTGAGTATATTTGTTTGTTAGATTTTCTTGCATTTTAATGTTGAAAGACATGATCGTAAAAATAGTATAGAATAGAAGAGAGTAAATAAAAACATAGTAATATCTAAATAATTTAGTTTAAATAGTTTTGAAATCTTTTGATCACTATTTTATGTATTTTAAACTTAATTTTTTGAAATACCGAATGAACATATTCGATTTTAATCACTGTTTTATGTGCTTTAGACATCACAAATGCCATCATTTCATTAGTTAGATATATATTTTCTTTTTCTTTTTAACTTTTTTGTTAGAGTTTTTTTTTTAATTTCAGTTTTTTTTTTTTAAAAAAAAACGATATTCCATTATTTTTTTAAATAGTTTCCATTTTTGTTTCTTTTAACATTTTTGTTAAATTTTTCTAAATTTTAAAAACATAAGAAATGGTAAACACTAAGAGATATAGATTCTATTTTTTTTATTAAAAACGTTTTTGTTAAAAAAGTTTTAAATTTCGGTTATATCTAATTTTAAAAACGGTTTGATTGAGTACGAAATTAAGCATTTAACCATAATATTTAGACCGATTTGTTTTAAGTTTTTTTGACACGTCCTCAGATAAGAACCAATAAAAAAATGACACATAATTGGAAAATAAGACTAAACAGTTTTTTTGCGGCCGAAACTTATTTTGGAGCTGATACGTAAACGAAAAGCGGAGAAACTCGCTGTAAGCGTGACACATAAGCAAATCACTACACAAATAAGTATATAGATAAATAGATAAATTCTTTTATTCATTTTATTTGTTTAATATTTTGCCAAAATAATTAAGTAAGTAATTCCATTTTGTACGCGTGTTAATAGGATTTGTAAATTTAAACGTAGAAGATTAAAACTCATAACTCAAAAGTAAAAAAAGAATTGGAATCTAATCAGTTTAACTCAGCAGAATATAGCAAAGTGCGTGACAGGTGCAGTTATGGGTCCCGCCAACTTGTGCACCGACGGTCCAGATCTGCTATCTCAGGTCAATGTCTCGCTAGATTTTCGGGATGTCCAGAGCCGTCGGATCTTGAGATCCAGTATCCATGCGCGCGTGGGGATGTACGGCCAGATCTATCGCTAACGTATTATTCACTCACTCGTTGAGAAGAGGAGAGTCATATTACTCTGTGGTCGCTCACACACTACTACCACCGTAACTAAACCGTATTTTCTGTTAATTAATAATTTTTAATTAAGTTATTGTTAATTTTTATCGATTGTTGAGCTTGAAACGAATTTCTCGATCAAAAATCTGAAATCTGTTATTGACTTATTGGTTTTTACAAAAACTGAGTCATAGAATTTATGATTTATGAAATGAATTCCACATCAGTTCGGTTAGGGTAATTGAATGTGGAAGTAATTGTAATTGGTACCATAATTTTGTTGACTTTTCCAAAGTAGCAACAAGTAAACCGATCACCGATCCGTTCAAATTTTCAAACTCAGGACCTTTTTGGATCACAGATTTGGACTTTTGTCTTGATTAATAAATTTAAAGTTTTTGTTTGTCCCTTTATTCAATGACCAATGACCAATCTAGAAAAATAATATATTTGGTTTTTGAACTAACCCAACATAACAGTATGAAATAGATTCAATGACCACTCTCTCTCTTTTCCTCTCTAATGTCGATGATGAGCAGAAATCGAAGTAGCATCGCCATGGGAACACCTTCGTTTCTTGAGATGAAGAAACAAGCTTCTTTTTTCTTCAAAGAGAAGCTCAAAACGGCGCGTTTAGCTCTCACCGATGTTACTCCTCTTCAACTGTTAGTTTTCTTCTGGCTTCTCTTTTTTTCCTTTGATAAAAAAAAACGCTCCAGGGAGGGGTTGAACCTCCGACCTTGTGGTTAACAGCCACACGCTCTAACCAACTGAGCTACTGAAGCTTGTTGTGGCCTCTCATTTTATTTTTAATTTTTGTAATTAATAGATTTATTGTTATGAGATCGACGGATTATAATTATCTAACACACATACTATATGTGTATGTAATAATAAGGAGGATTTGAATGAAATTCTGAATAATTGGTTAAATTTTATTGAAGAATGACCGAGGAAGCTACGGATGGAGACTTGTGGGGGCCAAATACACAAACCTTGGGATTCATTTCAAAGGCAGCTTTTGAGTTTGAAGATTACTTGCGGATTGTCGATGTCTTGCACAAAAGGTTTAAGCAAAACCGATGATTAATCCATAGAATTAACTTTAATTAGGGCATGTCCATGTATTCTATTACTGAGTTATGGAGCTTTTTTGTTTGTTTGGTGTAAATAGATTGGCAAAGTTTGATAAGAGAAACTGGAGAATGGCTTATAACTCACTCATAGTTGTTGAACATTTGCTCACTCATGGACCAGAGAGTGTATCCGATGAGTTTCAATGCGATAGAGATGTTATCTCTCAGATGCAAAACTTCCAACAGATCGACGAGAAAGGGTGATGATGGTTTTCTAGGGTTTTAAGGCCGGAAACCTAGTTGAAGTTTCAGTGTTCTGAGATACTAAGTTATCGTTTCTTGGCAGGTTTAATTGGGGATTAGCTGTTAGAAGGAAATCAGAGAAAGTTTTGAAGTTACTTGAGAAAGGGGAATTGCTCAAGGAAGAGAGGAAGCGAGCTCGTGAGCTGTCTCGAGGGATTCAAGGTTTCGGTAGCTTCAACCGCAAGTCTTCTTCCAATGAAGTCCTACAAGAATCTGCAGTCTATAGGAAATGCAATTCCAACTTTACCAAGCACAATGAGGATGAACAAGAGATCAACACAATGGTTTCTCCTAATGAAACCGGTCACTTCCCTCAGCCGCTAGTGATGGAAACAAACGAGGAATCTGAGAGGAATATGAAAGAAAATATGGATCCTGAAGATGATGAGAACACAGAGATAAACCCACTTTTGGGTTGTAATGAAAAGGAAGGTCAAGATCTAGCTGAAGAAGATGAGAACCATCCATTTACAGATGGTGCAAGTAAGCATATCATCTCATTGCTTAATGAGAACACAAACTGAGAATATATAAATGAAACCACGGTCTGTATAACACAATGAGCAGAGACAGAGAGAAAACTAATAAGAAGATAGTGTGTATACCATTATGTATACAATATAATAATAATAAACACTTTGTTGATGACTGATCTGTTTTTTACTTGTTTCGCATCAAAAGCAAGATTACAATAAACAATGAGGAAGGAATATAAAAGAAACAAACACATAGAGAAGAAAGGTAAGTAATGATGGCAACTGGCTTCAGGGTGAGAAAAATGATATCAAAACTTGGTGAATTTTATCAGAAACACTTCCTGTGAACGATCGATGGTCCAGATTCGTCATACTCGGCTTTCGCAATCCACATCTGCAAATATGAATCACATTTGTGTAACAATATATCACAAACTATACATTAAAACACTAATAAAAGACTATTATAATTTGTATGAAATTTACCTGCTGGAAAGTGCTTAGGGAAGCTAAGATAGAGCCACCGATCCAGACACTGTACTTCCTTTCCGGTGGAGCCACAACTTTGATCTTCATACTGCTCGGAGCCAAAGCTGTGATCTCTTTACTCATCCTATCACCAATACCACCGAACATTGTGGTTCCACCACTGAGCACAATGTTCCCATAAAGATCCTTCCTGATATCCACATCACATTTCATGATTGAGTTGTAAGTAGTTTCATGGATTCCCGGATTTTCCATTCCGATCATCGATGGCTGGAACAGGACTTCAGGGCACCGGAAACGCTCTGCACCAATGGTTATCACTTGACCGTCTGGCAGCTCGAAGCTCTTTTCGACAGATGAGCTGGTTTTGGAAGCTTCGAGCTCTTGCTCGTAGTCCAAGGCAATGTAAGAGAGCTTCTCCTTCATGTCTCTAACGATTTCACGCTCAGCAGTTGTGGTGAAGGAGTAACCACGCTCTGTCAGGATTTTCATCAGGTGGTCGGTTAGGTCACGCCCTGCAAGGTCGAGACGCAGGATTGCGTGTGGAAGTGCATAACCCTCGTAGATGGGAACCGTGTGACTCACTCCATCTCCAGAGTCCAAAACAATACCTGACCAAAAAAAATTCAAAAATAGGAGCAATCATTATAGCTAGTAATTGAAAAATATAAGCAGAACAAAATCAAACATTTTTTTTTGAATAACTAAGAGGTTCTAAACCAAGACATGTATATTCCAAAGGCCCGGAACCAGAGCATTTTACATAGTCCGTTCCAAGTTCCTAGAGTCACTCATATGACCTCTAGGCTTTGTCTTAAGTACTTAACCAAATCGAACTTTATTTAAAAACAAATCGTAAAAATCTTTCTGTACCGAATAAACTGCAAACTAGCAAGCAATCTCTTGATGCACCAGCACAAAGCGTAATATTGTGGTGTGTTGTAAGGAAAAGTAACTTAGGCAGAGTCTTGTTCAATAAAGAAAAAGGGATATGACTTATGAGTGTACTGACCCGTAGTACGGCCACTAGCATAGAGGGAGAGAACTGCTTGAATGGCGACATACATAGCAGGAGTGTTGAACGTTTCAAACATGATCTGAGTCATCTTCTCACGATTTGCTTTAGGATTGAGCGGTGCTTCGGTTAGCAGAACCGGGTGCTCTTCTGGCGCAACACGCAGCTCGTTGTAGAAAGTGTGATGCCAAATCTTCTCCATGTCATCCCAATTGTTGACAATACCATGTTCGATTGGGTACTTGAGAGTCAAGATACCACGTTTTGACTGTGCCTCGTCTCCAACGTAAGCATCCTTTTGCCCCATCCCGACCATAACTCCTGTGTGGCGTGGACGGCCAACGATACTTGGGAATACAGCTCTTGGAGCATCATCACCTGCGAAACCGGCCTATACACGCAAGAAAGTTGAATTTGATTCACTTTTTAACTTATGGCAATATAGTAACATTTCTTATATTTGTTCTTGTTAATCATATAGAGAAGCTTTTACCTTGACCATTCCGGTCCCGTTATCGCAAACGAGAGGCTGAATATCTTCACCGTCCGCCATTTTTCAATCTCTAGCTGATAACATCAAAAGAAGAAACATAGCAATTATACATCCAAAATAAAAAAAAATATTTAGAAGGAATCAGATTAAAATCATCAATGGTTAACAAACTTCAACCAGTAAAATGCTCAACCACAACTTACAAAACACATTCGCACAAATCAACAGACCAAAACTATGACCAGATACATTCTTTTTTTTTAGATGCATTCATCAATTTGATTTTGCCATCTTCGATCGTTTCTTGCTAAACAAGAAAGACCAATAAATTCGTAAAATATGTCTAAAATCCATAGAAACACTCGATCCTTATCGCATTTCTTCTAGCGGATTAAACTCGGAATTTCGAACCAATAGAGAGATGACGAGATTAACATCTACCTGTTGAATTTACGTAGAAGAAGAAGAGAAAAGATTGCCTTTGAATGGGGTTTTCAAAATTTCTGGACAAAAGAAGGAACTTGGCCCTTAATATCGTTCGACCATAAACGGATCTAAGCCGTTAGTTTTCTTCCTTAATCCAATATCTCAGCCTGTAACGACACGTGTACACCTATTTTTGGGACGAGGGTTGAGAGAACTCCAGCCTGACCGGGAATTACGGTTTCAGGCTCTGTTTTTGCCGGGAAAATCGGGTCACCGGAAAGCATGCCCCCTTTAGACCTTTTAAATTTTAGGCCTTTCACTAATTACTTTGAATTGTCTTTCTGTTAACCTAATTAAATAGTTGCTCATCTTAACATGTTTTGCTAAAACAATCCATAGTTCTCTAATTCGATTAAAATAATAATGTAGTGCTCTTTTTTTTGGATGTGGGTAAACAAACATTTTAGATCATTTTGTAGTAGAGACAATAAACGGCCAACAATTCACAAAAAGCAAAAACATAACAAAACTCAGATTGGTTTTTTACCACATATAATATATCGTAGTTATGATTTTTTGGCTAACTACTTTTTTTCCTTATGTAAATTTGCAAGTCAAATTCCATATACAAAAAAAAGAAAAAATGTTGACTAAAAGCTTAAAAAAATATATCATGTATTCAAAATCATTAATTAGTATGACAAACTGTTAAAAGTTTTACAATGTTCGTTGACTGAATTTATTTGTATGTAAAAAATCACATAATAATTTCTCTTTTCACGTTATTGTTCGTGCAAGGAATATCTCTAGTTTGTGTTTTTAAAGCAGAATATTTAAAAAATACATTTTATATTCTTTGGATTTGTTTTAATATGCGTTATATTCTCTAGGTTGATTTTTGATGTTTTTCTTAGATTTATCTTATTTTAAACAATCAATAAACTAACAAAATATATTCAATAACATTTCGTTTCTTAGAATCATTCTACTCCAAATTAAGTACAAGTTCTATAATAGATTGTGATCCAAAATATAATACAAGAAAAAGTTAAAAATCCTTTAAAAAAGGTTTCAAATCTTAGGTGGAATTTCTGGAAAAGTTTGAGGGAAGAATGAGAGTAATGTTGTTACACCAAAAAAAAATAAAAATAAAGAAAGAATGAGAGTAATGATTTGTTACACAAAAAAAGAAGAAAAAGAATGAGAGTAATGATGGTAGCGATAATCAAGAAATGTGGTCATGATGATGGGCTATGGGGGTGAGTAAAATAATCACCTCCTTCGACGTTTGATTCCTTTAAAATAAGAGCTTTTTTGATTAATTGAATACATGGTGAATCAATCTTAATCAAGCTATTGACTTTTTTTTGTATTGGGAGGTTAGGACTTGGGGGATTTTGAGATTAAAATTTTGACTTTTCGGTGTAAATTAACCTTTAGTCCCCAATCAAAGCAAACATTCATCCATGTTGTCATGTTGATCGCTGCACTTATCTAACAATAATATTCTCATTTCGAGGTAATCACATTGAAACATACTCTTTTTATTTTTTAGACTTTTTCCTCTAATGTATAAGATACTTTTACATTTCAACATTTTAAAACTTTCACATTTTTTAATACAAATATAAAATTTATTATATACGTCTAACCAATTGAATTGTACATTGTTTTTCATTATTAATTGTATTATTTTTAATTTATATATTAATCTTAATAGATAATATTTTTCTTCAAAAATACTCTTTCAAAAACTTAATGCTCTTAACTAAAATATTTTCTATTTTAAAACAAGATTAAGTAGATAAAATCTTCATCAGAGGTCCTGAAATATATTATCTTCAAATTTTATTTTATATTACGAGTTGACGAATTTCTAATAAAAGTGATTAAAGTCTCACGTATATAATTAGCACATGAGTTGACTTGGAAAGTGGAAGCCTATACAGGCCCCAAAAACAGGACAAGTCCGAAACTCCTAAACGGTACGTAGTTCAAATTTCAGTAGTGGAAACTGGAAGAAACACTGCTAAAGGAAGATAACTTTATGCTTTTCCAGCCAAACGAGCAAACAAAACGGCATGCAATTTCCCGATTGTTCTTGCTATATTTTCTTACCAATCATCATCGTTATACGATTCTGCATCTCCACCGTTGACTGAGTTGATACTGGTTGCTCATACTTAAAATCTAACGGCTGTGATTATATATAGCCGAGCCATAACTCATAAGCTGCTCGTTCTTATGCATGTGAGCATAGCTTGCTTCTTAATCGCTTTTATTGGCCACCGCAGGCTGTTCTGGCGGCTAGCATTTCTTCATGTGATTTAATTTCCACGTCGATTGAGTTTATTAAAAACTGAAAAATTACGAGAGTCCAAACTACAGATTTTGATGATTATATTTTTTTATCTACAATAATTTTGACTTTAGTATCTAAAATTAGCCAACTATTTTGGGATATCCATTATAATTATTTAAACACCATTTTAATAGCTTTTTAAAGTTTTGATAATTTTCTAATTTAATTGATTTTGGCATCTGAATTTTTTTATATGATATTATTAAACTATTACAAAAAAATTTTTTAATTGATAATTTATATGTTTCACTTGAATTCATGATAACACAATAAACCGTTCTTTTTATACCATGTTGAAAATTTTCTTATAAGTTAATTTTTATTATTGAGCTATAAAAATCATATTTAAAAAAAATAAAAATTAAAACTTTGATCTCATAATATAAAAATATTAATTAATCAGCAGACCACTGAATCAAAGAGTTTTCACATTTTATAGTTTTAATTATATAAATATTTCTTTTTAGAAATTTAAAAATGCAGTTTATATATGCATGTTTTAAAGAAAACGTGGTCAATTTAAAATTCATTCTTTTGGATTTGTTCGGTTTCTAGCAAACATTAATTTTTTAATTTATTTTATTTGCTTTATCTTGTAAATTTACGTCTTTGAATTAGATCTTAACCGGTACCGGTCTAAAATTATATTAATCCGGTTTACATGTTGAGCCGACAGAAGCGCACAAATTGCCCCATAAGCCGTCACCAAGCTACGCCGTTGAGAAAAGTCATCGCCTTCTCACCATCTCTCTTTTTTTTTTTGTTTTTTTTTTTGGGGGAGAAAATCTCTTTCGCACTTCTGCAAATGGCTATGTTCTTTGTTTCGAGCTGAATCTCGTCACTGGACTCTAAAACGGGAAATATTTCCTCCTTCTTTGGAGAAGCTTCAATTCGTACGGACTTGGATCAGAATCGGATCCGTTAATCGAGTGAAACGATGGAGGAGGAGAAAGGTGCTGCTGCGCAGAGCTTAATTGATGTAGTGAACGAGATTGCGGCGGTTTCCGACTACCGGATTACGGTGAAGAAGCTCTGCTCCAATCTAGCGAGGAGGTTGAAGCTGCTTGTTCCGATGTTCGAGGAAATCAGAGAGAGCAACGAGCCGATCAATGAAGATACGTTAGGGACGTTGGTCTCGTTGAAAGAGGCTATGTGCTCGGCGAAGGATTATCTCAAATTCTGCAGCGAAGGGAGCAAGATTTATCTGGTGCGTCTGTGTATTCTTTTGGAACTCGAGATGCATCTGTTTTCGATTTATTGGCCTTTACTTGATTAGATCTGTGTGTGGTTACTGAGTAAGTAGAAGCTGATTAACGAAAGCTTGACGAATTGATTTTTCGTTTTGCTATGGCTAGTATGAATGATATCAATGCATCTAGAATTAAGATTAGATGTTAGATTTGGTGCTTTAGCTGCTCTGTGACTCTGCTTTTCTTGCATTGGTTGATATCTGATTGGTGGAAGTTGCTGAAAATTTGTTCTCTGATCAATTCGATTCTAGAACAGAAGATTGACACGAGAGACCTTCTTGTTCTGTTTGTAGGTCATGGAGAGGGAACAGGTGACAAGTAAATTGCTGGAGATTTCAGTTAAGTTAGAACAATCTTTGAGCAAGATTCCGTATGAGGATCTGGACATATCCGATGAAGTCAGAGAACAGGTAAATTCTAGAATCCCGTAGTTCCTATTTGATGCAGAGCTTAGATATCAGTTGATCATGAGTTCTTGAACATCAGATTTTTTTTTTCTTCACATGGGACCTGGATGATTTCAGATGTTGAAGTTGGATCAAGATAAGAATCGCTTGTCTAGCATAAATGGCTAGGATCTTAGGACCTGTGTAGTTATGTTTTGAAACCCGACATTATTGAGTCAAGGGTAGGATCTTGAGCGGATATGTGGACATTTTCATGGCGTTTTGTTGTTTTTCAGGTTGAGCTGGTTCTCAGTCAATTTCGGCGAGCTAAAGGGAGAGTAGATGCATCAGACGATGAACTTTATGCAGATCTTCAGTCGCTGTGCATTAAAGGCAGTGATGTAGATGCTTATCAGCCTGCCCTGCAGCGTGTTGCGAAGAAGTTAAACCTGATGGAGATTCCTGACCTAGCTCAAGAATCAGTGGCTCTGCACGAAGTGGTTGCTTCGAGCGGTGGAGACGCCGGTGAAAACGTTGAGGAGATGGCGATGATACTGAAGCTGATTAAGGATTTTGTGCAGACGGAGAATGAAAACGGCGAGGACCAGAAAGTAGGGGTTAACTCAAGAAGCAACGGACAAACTTCTACGGCTGCGAGTCAGAAGATCCCCGTGATTCCAGATGATTTCCGCTGTCCAATATCACTGGAAATGATGAGAGATCCAGTTATTGTTTCAACAGGCCAGGTAAGGTTCACTTCAACTTCAGCTCCTTCAAATTTATTTCTGTGACCTCTTAATAGATGTATGTTCTCCTCTGTGTATAGACCTACGAACGCACCTGCATTGAGAAGTGGCTAGAAGCTGGGCACTCGACATGTCCAAAAACACAGCAGGCACTAACAAGCACAACCCTCACACCAAACTATGTTCTCCGTAGTCTCATAGCTCAATGGTGCGAGGCCAACGATATTGAGCCTCCAAAGCCTCCGAGCAGTTTAAGACCCAGAAAAGTATCGTCCTTCTCGTCCCCAGCAGAAGCGAACAAGATCGAAGATCTTATGTGGAGACTCGCTTACGGAAACCCCGAGGACCAGCGATCTGCAGCTGGGGAAATCCGCCTCCTTGCGAAACGAAATGCAGACAACCGCGTGGCCATAGCAGAAGCTGGAGCCATACCTCTCCTCGTAGGCCTCCTCTCAACTCCTGATTCTCGTATCCAAGAACATTCGGTAACAGCTCTTCTAAACCTCTCCATATGTGAAAACAACAAAGGAGCCATTGTTTCCGCTGGAGCTATTCCCGGTATAGTTCAAGTGCTCAAGAAAGGAAGCATGGAGGCTAGAGAGAATGCGGCGGCTACACTCTTCAGTCTATCGGTGATCGACGAAAACAAAGTGACGATCGGTGCATTAGGAGCAATCCCACCGCTCGTTGTTCTTCTTAACGAAGGTACACAGAGAGGCAAGAAAGACGCTGCTACAGCACTGTTTAACCTCTGCATATACCAAGGAAACAAAGGAAAAGCCATACGCGCAGGAGTGATTCCAACGTTGACTAGACTCTTAACAGAGCCAGGAAGCGGAATGGTCGATGAGGCGCTCGCGATTCTTGCGATTCTCTCTAGCCACCCCGAAGGGAAAGCAATCATAGGATCCTCTGACGCAGTCCCGAGCCTGGTGGAGTTTATCAGAACTGGCTCGCCGAGAAACAGAGAGAACGCAGCTGCGGTTCTAGTCCACCTCTGTTCTGGAGACCCACAACATCTGGTCGAAGCACAGAAACTCGGCCTTATGGGTCCGTTGATAGATTTAGCTGGGAATGGAACGGATAGAGGGAAAAGAAAAGCAGCACAGTTGCTTGAACGTATCCGCCGTCTAGCTGAACAGCAGAAAGAGATGGCTCAATCACAAACAGAAGAAGAAGCTGAACCACCAACACTTTCAGCATCTACCACAGAAGCTGCTGATACTTGAAAGATTTGTTTTTTTTTTGTTGTTGTTTTGGTCATTATGGTCATATCTCCCACTTACGTCTGTCTTTTTACATTTCTTTCTCTGCTACTCGGTCCTCTTTCGAGGTGGGGCTTCACTGTGGACGGCGGAAGCAGAAGATGGCCTCCTTCTCCGACCTGTTTTTTTTTAACTTTATGGTGATATCTTTCTCTGTGTGGACGGAGCAATCCGGTTCTCTGAAGAGAAAAGCAAATATGCATACATACACGTCAACTTGTATCATTGTAACACTTTTCTGTTTGTAATCATTTCCACGTGCTTATTTATGGTTATAAATACAACAAGATCTTTGTTTACTCTCTAAACAGCATTACTAGGAGATGCTGATTGAATATAATGCAGATTCTAATGTTTCATGAAAAGATGCATAACCTATGCATAGATATATCTTTAGATATTTCAATAGGGAAGTTACTTTCCGGAAGTAGGTGGAAAAAATGTGTTAATGCCCAATGATTGATGGAATATTATCTATTTTGATTAAAAACTAAAAAGGTAATTAAGCGTTTGCTTATAGAAATGATTTTGATTAATGGGGTCTACTGAATTGTTATTCTGATTACTATACCAGGTCCCTAAGTTGAAAATCGCGTCGTTGGTTGCAGAAATATTTTAGAACACAGCACGAAAATAAGGTAGCTTATGGCACAAGTAATTTTCTTGTGTGTGTATTTAACACTCTAAGACCGGTCTTTGTTCATACAAATGCAGTCACAACTCACAAGAACAAATTTTTTAATGCGTCAGAAACTTAGTGATACCAGTTTTGTGTGTGTCCTTTTAGATGTGGTTGATGAGCTTTTCAGTTTAAGGTATAAGTAGCCTCTACATACGTATTACGTAATACATTCGTCTTGTTGATTTAGAAGCTGCTGTTGTATTGCTAGTAATGTTATAATTAATGATCTAAATCTAGCGACTTTGGGTTTAAAACTCGCTCCCTGAGAGAAAATATGGTCAAGGGAAAGGCAAAGGCGGGATACTTGCCAGCCAAGAAAGTAATGGTAAAAGTAAAACAGAGAAATGTGAACGCTAAACCCACAGCTGAAAACCGACTGATTCAACCGGTTGATCCGGGTATACCGACTCCATAGATTGTACAATTAATCTGGGATAAAGTTATACTCCATAGATTGTACAATTAAACTGGGATAAAGTTTTTGACTTCCTTACTTGCAGTGGCGGGGTCAATTTTAATTTATAATGTATTCTGAACAAATTTTATAGGATCATTTAGTTAAATTATTAATATTATATCTATTTTTTATATAAAAATATAAATATTTATAAAAATTTTTAAATTTTACCTAGGTCAATTGCCCTTCCTCTCAGCATGCTCCCTCTGCCACTGCCTACGGACCACCTGATCCAACTCTTCTTTTAATTCAGTTTACTGTTTTTTTTTTACTTTGATGGATCTCAATCGAAAGATTTTAATTTAAAAAACAAAAAAATGTTTGTTAGAAAACCAACGCAATAAACCCGGTTGGACCAATTGTTATGTGCTTGGGCACCAATCCAGTTCAATTAAAAGATCATTGGATTGATTTCACTAAAATCCGGTAAACCAGATCAACCGGTTAAATCAATTGGTTCATTGGATTCTAGATTATTCTTTTAGATTAAGAAGCTGGATACACATAATATTTTTTACGATAACCACTTTTCTTCTTACAACCAACCAATAATCAGGCCAACTATCACTATATCGCTGGAGTCCACCAATAATAAAGAGATGCACTCTCACTAAGTCACCTTGAAGTAGCTCTAATCATAATATAATTTCAAAACACAGAAACAATTATCATATTATTAAATTCAAATAAACACAAATTACCAAAATGTCGTACCAAAATCTTTTTCTTAGTCTCTCTAATCATAATCAATGTAACCTCGTAACACTAAAAAAAAATCAACTAGAGATCGAATATTCACATAATCTTTTTATCATAATTTAATTCACATTTACTTTAATTTCATAACACATAATCTAATATGCCAATAACACAGCAAATCGTAAGAACACTAAAGTTTGTTACCTAATAATATGACCACCTTTCCTTAGATTTGAACAAGTTTTAGTGCAGTTTTAGTGCAGGTCGATGAAATTCTTTGACCTTGGTATCAATATCACTATCTTCATGATCGAAGTTTTCAGAATGAGGAAGATGAAATTTCAAATCTAACCCTCCATACTATAATTCTTTGACCAAAAAGACTAATCTCATTAATCAACTAGTGTATATATTATTTTAACTATCATATTCAACAAAAATATCACATATATATAAATAAATAAATATATATATATATTTCTTGAAACTTATAGCTGATTAAGTGCTTAATAAATGATGGCAGGTGCATAATGGACCAAGCTGAACACAATTTAATGACTGAGTTCACTCCAACAAAGATTAAATTTGCCTCTACTAAATACCAGATAGGACAAAATGGCAAGAAGTTGGGAACAGTCAATAACTATTCGACATTTTCTTACTTGTAAATTCTTAAAGGCATACTCACTGATTCCTTATTCAGTAAGTTGGAAAACACATTTTTTGGCCCGATCATCAAAGTAGGTTTACGGAAAGGAGGTGATACACAGATTTTGACAACAAAGAAAAACGAACTCTGGTTTTACTTCATATTATATGTATAACACATAATCTCGTTTCAAAATGTTTTCACATCAACATTTGATATAATTTTGAAAAATAAATATTGAATATATATATATATATATATATATTTATCTACTCATATAAAACTAATTTTGTGTCATCTTAGGTATTTAGCTATTCATATTTACGAACTATTCTAATCACTATTAAGAAGTATGAAATAAAAAATATAACAACCTGGTATAAATAGAAACAAATAAAAAATAAACAAAAATTAATGAAAAATAGGAATAAGGTTATTCTTTTGTGTATGGACGAATTAACCGTCTCTCTCTGGCGATGAGAATGGTGATTCTGATTTCTCATCTTTAACTTCTTATTCTTCTTTTCCAAAATGATTATTACTGGATATGCTTTATTCTTCTTCATTACAGTTTCTATCTGATGGTGATCTGCGCAATTTTTAGAGCAATTATCCGTTTCTATCCAATTGCTCTTCCAATCTCAACCGTTTCTTTTCCAGGGAGCGGTTTTTCCCAAATCTGACACTGGTCTGGAGTGTAGTGATTCCATCCCTGCGTTCTTCATCTCCGTAGCCGGACTTTCACCACGCTGCGATGAAACCATCGGATATAACAGTTTCAGTTATGTCCTATATATTGGAATCATGGGATCGATTTGTGATCTACACTCTAATTTAAAAATCCAATATCTTCTTCAATTTTACTACTGCTTCTTCAATTTTCTTCGAAGAACGTGTTGGTGCATTGGTCGGAGGATATGGGATCCGGGAAAATGGAAACTACCAAGGAAGGAACAACATGTAGGAGTTGAAGATGTAACATCTTTGTTGTATGGCGATATTCGTACAATCGTTGAAAATTGGCAATCTCAAATTCTATTTCTTTTGAAAGAATCAGTACATTGGATTCTGAATAAAAGAATATCTTTAGATCTAATTTGGGAGTTGGTCAATGTAATACAACATGAGGAGATTGTGTTTAAATTGGTTATGCTGACAACCAAAAATGAAGTTCGCATCAGTTCGACTGCAAGAACGAGAACAAATTCGACAGGCATCGTCATTGTTATTTCGTTTATTTTATTGTTTTGTAAACATATGTATTTTTTATTTTTGTACTTTCTGTGTAATCTGGAATTTTATATATAAATGAAAATAGATGTTAAAAAAAAAAGGTTATTCTTTGTGTGTATATCTTTATTTTTTTACTATTAGAGAGAACTATGTACAAGAGTCAAAATCCTGAAAACCTTAAAATTACATCTCTAGTGAATTAAATGTTGCTTATATTCTTATAGCCATCATATTCCAGAACAAATTTCCTAAACTACCCACTTCTTTTTGAAAATGTAAATTTTTTGGCACAAAACTTCAATATAATTATATCTTATATTACAGTAGAAATTCTATAAATTAATATTTGATAAATTAATAAATTTGATTAATTAATAAATTTATTTGGTCCCAAATTTAAATTTTAGACAAATTTATCTCTTTATAAATTAATAACTCGCTAAATTAATAAAATTTGACAGTCCCAAAAAGTATTCCCGTTTTTGAGGCTTTGCGTCTCTTTCTACATATTTATAATTAGATTTTAGCAAATTTCATAACTTACCGCTTGCATCAAAAGTAACACTCCATCTGTTCCACAATATAATACGTATAATTTTTTCTTTTTTTTTACAAGATGTTTTATAAGTTTCAATGAAAATTTTGGTGTTCTTTGATATTTTTGGCTGTCTGACTTTTACAGCTGTTTTTCATGATTGATTGAATTATATTTTTAACTAATTCTTCAATGATATTTTGTTTATGATTTGTTTCCTTTCTCAAATTTCATATTTTTACCTAAAACATCTTATATTTTGATATGAAAGGAATATGAGATAAGACGATGATTATCAGGTATCTTAGGAATCTTAGGAAGGATTCTTAGCTAATTTTAGGATTAAAATAATGTATACTAATACTTTATCTAAACCAAATCTTATTTAGAATCTTTAAGAACCGATTCTTAAGATCCACGTGTTATGAGGTGATTGGATAGAAATATTGAGAAAAAAATTCTTTCTTTCTTCTCTCTTTCTTCCCCGATCAAAATTTGCTTGGAGCAAATGGACCATTGGAGCCATTATCATCGCTTTGGTCTTGGCCATATTAATAATTCTTGTACTTCAAACTCACCTAGTAAGCCCCTATATCTAAAACCCGACCAAATATCTGCCATTGAATAAGAAGAACACCAATTCTTTCTTCTTTTTTTTTTTCCGATCAAACTCTATCTATATACTTATTTGTGTATTGATTTGCTTATGTGTCGCGCTCACAGCGTTCACAGCTTTTCGCTTACGTGTCAGCTCTAAAATGAATTTTGACTATAAAAAGACTGTTTAACCTTATTTTGCAATTACATGTTATTTTTTTATTGGTTCTTATCTGTGATGTGTAAAACAAACTTAAAACAAACCGGTCTAAATTATTATGGTTTAATATTTAATTTCATAGTCAATCAAACCGTTTTTAAATTATACATAACCGAAATTTTAATTTTTTTTAACAAAAACGTTTTTTTTTTTATAAAAAAATGGAATCTATATCTCTTAATGTTTACCATTTCTTATGTTTCGAAATTTAGAAAAAATTTAACAACAA